CGTATCAAAGTGACTTTCAAAGCTTTGTAGCACATATTACATATTAAATGGTTTTGCTATCTTAACCCAGGGAGACGTTTGCGCTCTCTGAGCTTCGTTATTTGCTTCCAGACATTTCATTAACTGATGGGGTAACATGATATAACCTGTGATGTGTGTGTGTGCGCGCGCACACACACACACACTTTTAATAGTTTCTATGAGGGAAACTATTAAAAGATAAAGCACATCAGGTGTGTCATCATAAGTTTCTTGTCAAGCCTTCAAAAAGACATTTATCTCATATATGTGAATGAAACCACAACATGGGATATGCTTTAAAGTAGAAGATAAATGCTTGGCAAATTTTAATATCTAAATCAAATACTCAATAGCTTGTTAATTGTACTTTTTGAATGAAAAATACAGGTATTGCACTTTTAAATTCTCATTTCATTTTTGTTTTAAAGATTGAAAATATTGCTGCTCCACCAACCTGTATGACTAACAGCATAAAAATAAAGCAAAATAGATGAGAAATGCTTAATAGTTTATACCATAGGTGTCAAACTCAGGGCATCACGTTGCCATCACGTGAGGTTTCGCAATGTTTTTCCCTTCACGGAGCTGGGGTGGGCATGGCCTGCGCATGATGCATCTGGCCCATGGGCCACCAGTTTGACAACCCTGATTTATAGTATTCTGGTTTTATTGGAGTGGTGAAAACTTTTTGAAAAGTTGCTGCAGGACTAAAATCTGGGAGAACCCGTTAAACAAAAGACATTGCCTAAACAGTGATTTAAACATTGTGGAAAGTGAGGCATATGCTGATTGAAATGCAAAATGCGTTTAGATTTGTCATCCTAGCTTTGATTTTAAAGGCAAATCACTCAATTAACTTTGATTAACTGCAAATTTGAACCACACTGAGAATGATGAAAAATAGCTTGCAACTCCATTTGCAGTCTGAAATCATGCTACACAGATAATTATAATGTAAAATAGTTGCTGAAGAATAAGAATTTCTTGAATAAAAATGAAATCTAAATGCTCCCCAAATTTAAACACCATTTTATAGATTAATTTTTAAGTGTGACCCGTGTTGGTATTCTACTGGTTTGGCCCCATTCGGCCTAATGGGTAGTAAAAAAAGCTTCTGACAATCAGCTGATAGGAGGGGGGGAAAGCCTCCGACAATCAGCTGAGAGGAGAAAGAAGAGAAAAACGCAGGATTGGCCCTCCCATCTGCCCCTGTGCTTTTCTTTATCCTCTCAGCTGATTGGCGCTGCAGGCCTCAGCTGGTGTGTGGAAAGCTGTGTGCACGCATTAGGTGCACGTACGCGCAATCACCAAACCGGTGGTAGAACAGGTAGAAGGGTCCCACTGCTGAGTGTGACCATCAAACAAGCACCTTGGTGGTATTAAGACTAAATAACAAACAGTTTGGGAGCTGAGCAATAATGACATTAAGAAGATTTAAGAAGAGAAGAATGATCAGAATCATGGAATAATACAAAGGATGCAAAAACTTGCCTATCAATGTCTGTGTGCATTTATGTCTTTGTTAGAAACAATGCAGAATTTAATTTATAAGAAAGCTCTGAGCCGGAGCACATTCTCAGAATTTTATTTAAGAATGATTATGATAGTTTCATCCAGATGAAACACTCTGGTCTTTTGCTGCTAATCTGGTTAGAGACTTAATTTAAAAGTCAGTTTAAAATGATTCCTTACTCTTAAGAGAATAACCAGCAATTTTAAAAAATCATTTCTATTCTGAGCTAACTTTCCAAATATATCATAAGCCAAAACTAAAAAACACTTGGTGCGACCTAAGAGGTATGTAGGAGGCATGCATAAGCACGCCAACGTCCCTGTTTCTTTCTTTTTTTTCTTATATGTATCCATGTATTCGTAACTATGTTTTTATTTATACCTATTATCTTGTAAGCAATTGACAAAAATAAATAAATAAATAAAAACTTACCCAAAAGGCAAGCTTTTTTCAACCAGAAAAGATATAAATAAAATGCACTGACCTCCCACCTTCGTCCCAATGGTCTTTTTCCAGCTGTTCTATTGCATATTCTGCAGATCACTTAAATACTTCAGATAGATGATGTATGAGGAGTCTTAGTCATCTTTTTTTAAAAAAAATGACATTTGAAATGTTATAAAAGACTTCTCCACTTGTCGATGTCCAGACATGTGAGCTTCAACTTTCAGTAATGTAGACTCAGGCAGGGCCAGGCTAAAGAATTTTGTAAACTGAGGCCCACACAGTTGAAGGGCGCCCAAATCAAATAAAACTCTTTGAAAAATATAGATAGCATCTTTTAATTCCTGAATAGGGAATCTTTGACCCAGCAGATCTTGCTGAACTATAGCCTCTGGTATCCTTAACAATTGCACATGTGAGTCCCGAGAGAAATATGTTTCAGAAATACCTTAAAGAAAATAGCTTTTTAAAAATATACAGCTGTATTCCAGAGAAATTTCAGGGACTTTTCTAGGGAGCTAAAGACTACGGTATTTTCTTCCACTTCTAATGGGGGTCAGAGTAGCTACTGCTGCAGGACTAATGGCTTTGATCTGACTCCATAGTATTTTCATAAGTTATTACTGTATTATTTGGGCACTGGTGATTGTCATCTGTTTTGCCTTGTAATTTCTTGAGTAAACTGACTCTGGGACATTAGTGATAGTATGGTTGGATATGTATGCTCCACCCAGTCTGGGATTTGGGTCTCATGAGCAAGATGTGAGATTAGTTAATCCCCCTGCTCTGAATTATAGCTTCACAAATTCTTTTCAGTATCAGTATACTCTATATTCTGGGCAATGTTTTCTATTTTGTAGTTTGGGGCCTCTTTAAGTTAAGCTTTTGCAACCCTATAGTTAAATAGTTGCAACCTAATATGACTGCTCTAGCAAAAATCCTGACTCCTCCTCCACATTGAGTCAACTTGAAATAACATGCAGATGTTAAAATTCATATGGAACTAAAACTCATTTAGTTCTGCTTGTTGTGGAATACCTATTTTAGTGTTTTAACTTAGTTGAGGGGAGAGCACCTAACCAAGGTACAACCTCTCACTTAGCTTCTTTCTCTGGGAATATTTATTCAAAAAGCAGCCAAGCTAGTTTATAGCTTGGCTTCATTTAGTAGAGGGGTTGTCTAATGGGCAGTGATCTTTTATTTTCCTAGACTTAAAGGATAGGGTCATTAAAGTTGTGCCATCTACAGAAAACAGGGATCTTTTACCTTTTTAAAGGCAGGAGGGTTGTGAACATAATAGGACAAATGTTTTGTGATGGATTCCATTTTGTAGGGCTCAGCAGTATAAGAAAAATGTGTTTAGCAGAAAATTGGAGACATTTCAAAATGCATAGTGAAATTAAGAAATTGCCTATTAAGTTAGATTCATTACTGTGTTAATACATGATCAATAACATTTTCAACAAAAATGAGATGGGTTTTGCCTTGTAATTTCTCCCACCTTCGTCCCAATTGTCTTTTTCCAGCTGTTCTATTGCATATTCTGCAGATCATATTCTGCAGATAATTTCCTTCTGGAAGATACTATATTTTATTTTATTTCATTTGTAGGATGTCTGAGTCCCAAATGACTGGGTATCTTACAACCAAAGCACAACTCATTAAAAGAAAAATACTTCAAACCAGGAGGTTCAAAAGTTGAAAAAGCAAAAATAAATAAATAAACCAAACCAAAATAACAACAAAACCAAAAGGAGGCTCCATATTTGCCCTGTTCTGGAGGCCTGGAGGAAATTGGGTTTTCCCCAATCTTTTTCTAAGCTCCAGGTCTTTAACAATTTCCTAATAAAATGAGGAGTATGGATACTCCACATAACTGAAGGGCAAACAGCTAGAGGGAGGCTACCCTTCAGATAACTAAGGTCTATTTTATGAACTGGATTAAAGGCAATGACTATCATCTGAAATTGTACTTAGAAGTACTTTTCAACTTTTTTCTTATGGATCATCATGACTATTCTTAATTTTAAATAATTTAGATAATTTTCTTGTTAATCAAAAAATTTGTTCATTCAACTGTAGTGAATGCTGCCAAGTCTCTTAGCCATACATATTAATGATAATAGGTTTATCACATATGCAAAAAGGATTTTGAGGGTTTTTTTGGCTTGGACAGCAGTGGAATGTGGGGGATCTTCTGCAACCCAGAAATGGACTTATAGGTCCACCCAGAGATGCATCATGAACTGGACAGCCATATGAATTCATTTAAATAAACAAATAATATACCCAAATGACTCCTGCACAGACCATTGCAGCTATTTACATTTATGACATGAATGAATGGTTTCCCTGAAATGTAGGCAGATTATGTATTTTTGATTATGTATATTATGTATATTTCACACTTCAGGAGTGTAATTCAGTCTGTAAGGTAAAGCTTAGAAAAAGATTGCGTAAATTGGGGAAAACCCAAGATTTATTCCCAACTTCTTTTTAGAGAAGTGTCAATGATATTTTTAAATACTCTTAAAACTGAAATTTAAGAAAGGATATTAAGGAAAGCTTTTTTATTATAATTATTTTTCCTTTTGAAAGGTTTACTGAAAACCTTTTTTTGATATGCCATTGTTCTTATCAAAACTGCAGACTTTTACAATGAAATTGGAATTAAATTGAATGTTTTGCAGTCATATCCTTCTAAAAATATGCCTCTGTGTTGCTATCATGTGAAAAAGCTCTCTGCAGAAATGAAAACTGAAAACATAAATTGAATTCAAGTTGTTGAATGGTAGATTCTACAACTAGTGACATACATCTTTTGATGTAGTTCCAAATACGGTCTTGACTCTGATATTCTTATCATGTCATAAAATAGGGAGTTGCAACAACTGCCAATTTACTGAGGAAATATATTGTGCTACTCAGAGGTGGGGAGTGAGTTAAATAAACAGATATAAAGCCATCTGGGGAGGAGGAATTTTATTTCTTTAAATCGCCATATGCTTCTTTTCTCTTTCAGCAGCAGGATGGAATTGAATGGAGAAAGTATGCTGACTAACAAGCCAGAATCTGTAACTTCAAAATTGTGATTTGTGTGGACTACGCTGGGAGTTTGAGCTGCAAAATCTTTCCAAGGGATTCCAGAAGTGTATAAACAGCCATGGCACTCTTCACTCCATGGAAATTGTCTTCTCAGAAACTTGGCTTCTTTCTGGTGACTTTTGGCTTTATTTGGGGAATGATGCTCTTGCATTTTACTATTCAACAGAAGACTCAGCATGAAAGCAGTTCAGTGCTTCGTGAACAAATACTGGATCTCAGTAAAAGATACATAAAAGCATTAGCAGAAGAAAATAGAAATGTAGTGGATGGACCTTATGTAGGGACAATGACTGCATATGGTAAGTAGGTTTGCATAGATTCCTACACTGAAACAGCAATATTTCATGCCTTATTCAGTATCATCTGGCCAATCAACTCATCAGCCTATATAGCTGGGATTTAGAACTTACTCCCTCCCTCCCTCCTTCCTTCCTTCCTTCCTTCCTTCCTTCCTTCCTCTACAAGAATAAACAGTATCTCCTTTAATAAATTGTTTCCAGATGCTTGTGCTGTATGTGAACCATGCTGCCCTAATGGTTAGAATGCAGTACTGCGAACTAACTCATTGCTCACACCAGGAGTTAGATCCTGACTGCTCAAGGTGACTCAGCCTTCCGTCCTTCTGAGGCCGGTAAAATGAGGACTCAGATTCTTGGGGGCAATATGCTGACTTTGTAAACAGCTTAAGAGAGGGCTGTAAAGCACTGTGAAGTGGTAAGTCTTAAGTGCTATTGCTAAATCAGCTAGGCACATAAAAACTTGGTCTAGAGTACACAGGAATACCCATCTCCTCTGATTTAAGTTTATGTATATTACAATTTTAATGAAGTATTGCAAAGAGCATATGTGTATGCTAATAATAGCTTTATATCAATAACATGTATAATCATGGACCACTACTTCTTTGGGTTGCTGTTGTAGAGATAAAATAAAAGGAAATGTCCATGTAAGGCACTTTGGGCTCTTGGTGAAACAGCAATACATAAAGATATGAAGAAAATAAGGAAATAAAACTACAAAATAGACGTTGATTTGATAGTTATCTTCATATGAGCTTTTTGTCAGTGTATGTCTATAATATTTTAATTGAGACAAAGGGAAATTTACTTAGCCTTCTCTGTGCCCATTCAAAGAGGAGTAAAATTACAAGGTTTTCAAAAGGAGATTCATTTTTATTTATTTTTTCAACTTGTAATCTCTTAGGACTCCTGATATTAAACAAATATACATTATCTAAATATCCAGGATACATATAAGTACTGTATTAATGTGTAAGCAAGCACAAGTAAAATCTAGCAGCAGTACAAAATTTAAAAAAATGGACATCAGCATTCAATTCACAAAACCTTTTCAAAAGACCTCTGTTTTCAGCTAGGTTCAAAGCAAACACCAGAAGGCTGATCCAAACAGGCAGTGCAACAAAGAACCAACACCTTCACGCACATACAGTCCCCAATTTGAAGAAACTGGAATAAAACCAGCACCTGATTCCTGAAACAATCATGTCAGTTAGGCTGATTCTGGTAAAATAGTATGGTACTAGAAGTTGACTTTAGACCTGGATACCTGTTAAAAACAAGTCCACAACACAACTGTGGTAGACTCCTCGCAATGTGTGTCAGATTACAAGTGGGGCAGTGCATTTTAAAACAACTTGAGCTCCGTGATAGTCTTCAAAAGCTGTCCCATTGGGAGCAGTAGTTCATCTGGGTGATGATGAAGACATGAATTATACTGTAGCTAAGACCTTAGGTTGCGGATACAACTGGAACTGGCACATGAGCCAGAATTGTGTAAAGGCCCATGTGGCTACTATGTTTATCATCTGCCCAATCAAAAGGAGCTTTGTAAGGAGATTCAAGTTGAGAGACTCCTACTTCATGCCTTAACAAAAAGTGCTACAATGCATTAAAATAATTCATAAGTTAATATAAAATTAAAATCTTTATATAGTGAAAAATAGGGTTAGAAATTTTCAAAAATTCTGTGAGGTCATTTACAATTGTTACTGTAACTAAAAAACTAAAATTTTCAAAAAGCATTATCCAGCCTTTCATATTTGGTTCAGGGCAGCTTCAGTTTCCACTTTTGTTTTGTAAGTAGGCCTTCAGAATTTAAAGAATAATGACATCCAGTCCCCCAAAATTTAAAGAGATAAATCAGGTTGGTATCCAATCTGCCAGACAATTTTTAAAAAATCAGGAGAAGCAGAGAACTTGGTTGGATCTCAAGGGTATTTGCTAAAAGAAAAATGTGCTTCAACCATTGATTTCTCACACATCTCCTTCAGTCTGAAAAAGATAAAATAGCTGCAACCAGAGCAAATATAGCAGATTTCTGGGAATTTTAAATGTTGAAGTTACCCCACATAGCAAACAAGAATTCACTCTTTCTGGATGTAGCATTGGTTTTCTTCCTTTGGATCATGGATGTTTACAGCAGCCTGAATAGCGCATTCACATCATTGTAGCTCTTAGCAGCTGTTTATATTTATAACGTATACATAACATTTCCCTAAGTTTGAATTTAGACTTTTGAAATTAAGGAAAATTGTGTGTTGCAGTAATTATATCTCTTTGTTCAGGGATGAATTTCAGTATGGAATGAAAAGCAAAGGGGGAAAAACAGTATAAGCTAGTAAATGCCCAAGATTTAGCAGTAACCAACTTGCTTTTAGAGAGAATTATCAGTGGGGAAGAGCAAGACAAGAGAAATTTGTCTCCAATTCCTTAAATGTTGGTTTAAGTGGTTGTCCATAGCAGGAAAGAAGAATCTTGCAGATATTTGTGGGTGCGATGTTTCATTTGTTTTCTATTTTTATAAAGAAATGTCAAAGTTTGGGAGACTTCTATTTAAAAGTTGGCAGTGAGCAGTATGAGCTCAGCCTTTCCACTTTCCATTAAAAAAAAAAGGTTAAGATTTAATTTTGGCCAGAGAACTGCTGGTTTAAAAAAAAAATCTTCCCTTTCCCAACCATATTGTGTAATAGCAGATACATGATTGAATATGCTGCTAGGACAGCAGCTAAAAATACATCACATAAAGGGCAAGAAACATTACCTGTTTAACTTCTTCCCCAATTGCTTTGATTTACCTCCCCATTTAGTGAATGTAAAAACAGAAAGAAAAGTGATACAACAATAGTATACATTATTTTCAGAAAACAAACATTTATACTGTACTGACTTTCTCTAATTACAAGTAGACCTCAACTTACAACCATTCTTTTAGTGACCATTCATAGTTACGGCACAGAAAAAGGCGACTTATGAACGTTTGTCACACTTGCAGCTGTTGCAACATTCCCATGGTCAAAATTTGGATGTTTGGCAACTGGCTCATATTTATGATGCAGCGTCTTGGAGTGATATAATCACCTTTGTGACCTTCTGACAAGCAAAATCAATGGGAAAGCCGGATTCACTTAACAACCACATTACTAACCTGACAACCACAGTGATTCACCTAACAACTGTGGCAAGAAAGGTTGTAAAATGTTGCAAAGCTAACTTAATAACTGTCTTGCTTAGCAATTGAGATTTGGGGCTTAATTACGGTCATGTGTTAAGGACCACCTGTATACCGTAAAACCCAGCTTAAGACAATACGGTCGTTTAAGTAAGAATGAAATTTAAGGGAAGACGCAGTATATACTTCCTGGGGAAAGCCCCTCTTTCAAATATAGGGTTTAAGTAAGAATGAAATTTAAGAGAAGATGCAGTATATACTTCCTGGGGAAAGCCCCTCTTTCAAATATAGGGTTTGACATCATAAACATACATTTTGCCTATGCTCCTCCAGGCAATTATAATCTTTCAGATACACTGGTCTCAGACTGTTCATAGTTTTATTAGTGAAATCCAGCACCTACTCTTTGGTTTCATACCAGTTGAAAGATAATATAATTGATCTAAACTAACATTACATCTTCTGCAAAGCACGCATCAGCTAAAGTTGTCCCAAAGGTGCTTTTTCAAGAGGCAACTGGACTGTCTGGTTTTTCTCTGAAGATGTTTTGCTTCTCATCCAAGAAGCTTCTTCTTGGATGAGAAAGTGAAACATCTTGAAAGAAAAACCAAAAAAGTCCAGTTGACTCTCGAAAAAGCACCTTTGGGACAATCATGACGTGGATGACTTGAGAATCTCCATAGACATCAGCTAACATTCTAGCTCAGTGTTTCCAAACCTCACAGGGTGCCTATGTGGATTTTAATTCTCAAAATTTTCCATGGTGATCATTCTGGCTATGAAATCCTGGAAGTTCACCATCCTAGAAGATTTCTAGATTGGGAAATGGTCACATTTTGTTCTGCCTGATGTCTCTGAAGCTTTTCAAAGGAGACTGATCTAGAATGGATTTCTATAAGCCTCTTTTGTATTTGTGTAATTGATTCATCCATCCATCCGCTGCCCATTGTTGACTGTCAAGTGGCTCTGGATTAGCTATATCTTCTTTTTGCAGGGTGTGACATAGGTTCCTATCTGATGTTGGCATCAGTTTTAGTTTGTTAAGCCATAATCAGTCCAACTCTGCCCAGAGGCAGGGCCGAATTTTTACCATCTCTTTGAAATTTGTTGAATTGGAAGGCTAGGCATAATGACATCAGTTTTACTGTATACCCTGCTCTAAATCTCGGGTGACATTTCCCCATTATTTCATGCAGAGCCTAAACATTTATAGGAGTAATCTCCACAAATAAATAAAGATGAAAGAATTCTTTTTCCCTGAATGTTAGGACACATAAAGATGCCAGTGTTAACCAGACATGTTAAGAAGCTTTTAGAATGAATAGGAATGTACTATACTCATTTTGTCTAGTTCCTGTAAAAGTTCTTTTACTAAACTTGGTGTAACATCAAAACATTTCTACTGTTTTAAAGACTTATTTAATATAGTATACCATCTTGAGTTACATATGAAAAAAAGGTGAAATACAAATATAAAAAATAATAAAACATTTTTGCCTACTTAATACAGTATTTAGAATCTGTAGACAACTGCAGAGATGACCTTAGAGAAACTATATGGTGATTGTTAGTAGACATGAGTGTAGCTCAAGAAAACCAGAAAATATAAGAAAGAAATATAAGATCACGCCACTTTGTTGTTAGGCCTTAAAATTTCTGCAGACAGTCCTCAACTTACATCCACAGTTGAGCCCAAAATTTCTGATGCTAAGCGAGATAGTTTTTGAGTGAATTTTGCCCCATTTCACAATCTTTTTTTGCCATAACTATTAAGTGAATTGTTGCAGCTGTTAAGTTAGTAACAAGGTTGTTAATTGAATCTGGCTTCCCCCTTGACTTTGATTGTCAGAAGGTCGCAAAAGGTATGACCCTGGGACTCTGTAACCATCATAAATATGTGCTAGTGCCAAGCAACTGAATTTTGATCATGTCGCCATGGGGATGCTTCAACCATGATCATAAACATAAAAAATGGTCATAAGACTTTTTTTTTCATTTTTCATTGTAACTTCAAATGGTAAACAAACAGTTGTAAGTCAAGGCTATCTGTTTTATGGCTTATTTCAATAGAGTAGAATTCTGGAATTCTAATATCTCTGTTACCTGATCTGGCCTGTGTCAAAGGGCTGGCAGAGTCCAACCAGATGCCAAAGGATAGTCCCCAAGGAGGAAATTAATAAGAGCATTTGCAATATAAGCAATGACCTCTGCATCCAGATTCTGTCTTGATTATCCTTAGGAACTTTGAAATAAGCCAGTGATGGACTTTATAATTATATAAGAAGCTTTTATTCCACACATTATGGATAGCACAAAAATAAAGTATATGCAGTAAAAAAGGAAATTAATGGCATTGAGCAAATTGTAGAAGGGCTTACCCATTATTGAGGTAAGAATTTGAGAGTAGTGCCTTACATGGATTTATTTACATCAGTACACATCATTTTCATGATGTGACTGTATAAATTGGTTCAGACAACATTTGTGTAGTGAAGTTGTGATGCAAACTGCAGTGGAAATATGCTCTGCTGCAGGAGAAATCAGTTGCATTGAAGCCTAGTAAAATTAGGTTTCACTGGATACTTTTTACAAAACTGCCATCACTTTAAGATGATTAAAGGATTCAGATTCTGCAAGTAATTTCCAAGTAAGAAATTATATTTAAAAGATCCACAGTTTATCAAATAGCAAAATAAGTTCCCAGATAAAATCATTTTGTTGACACACTGAACTTAGCAAAGTTTTGAAAGTGTAGGAGGATGTTAGAAGAATTTTAAAATAACGTCCTCTCTAGTATTAAGGAGTTGGAGGATCCATTATAAACAATGAGGTTTAATTACTGTGTAAGTATCCTCTTGAATTGTCCCTACATATTTTATTTTGCTGTCTATAAAAGAGTTTAGGAATTACTTGGACACACACACATAATAGCAGAAGCAATAGCTATAGCACTTAGACATATGTAGCTGCATAGTGCTTTACAGCACTCTCTGAGTGTTTTACAAATGTCAGCATATTGCCCCAAATAATCTGGTTGTTCCAGTTTTAAAATAACCTATCTGCTTCTACAGCCGTAGAGGTGCAGTGGTTAGAATGCAGCATTGCAGGCTGATTCTGCTGACTGCCGACAATTTTACTGACCTTGGAAGGATTAGATGGCTGAGTCAATCTTAAACTGGCAAACTGCTGGCAGTCAGCAGAATTAGCCTGCGGTGCTGCATTCTAACCACTATGCGGCTACGGCTGTAGAAGCAGATAGGTTATTTTAAAAGTGGAACAATTATTAGTTGAAATAGTTCAATAACACAGTATGAGTATTACATGAAGAAAGGTCCACAGTCTGTCCTATTAGTTAAATTTATCAAGCTCAGAAGAAAATCATTCATAATCATGCATAAAGCAAAGATAGCCCTTTTATCTTTTTATGTAACAGATTTTAAATAATTTTATTCAATTCCTAATGTTTGTTATCTGGGTATGCTATTTATCATCTTTATATTTTTTGTGATGTTCACTTCTTTAATTAATCAGTTTAATCAGAAGTTCCCCTTAATAGTGTAAATGCCTTCTTGGCCCACTTCTTTAACGATACTAAAATGAATCATTTACAAAACATCCCAACAGGATAGCAAGTACAGGTAATCTTCAACTTACAACAGCTCATTTAGTGTCCGTTCAAAGCTGAAAAAAGGGTCTTACGTGTCTGTGGCAAGGAAGGTCGTAAAACGGGGCAAAATCCACTTAGCAAATGTCTCACTTAGGAACAGAAATTTTGGCCTCAATTGAGGTCGTAAGTCGAGGACAATCTATGATGAAATGTTACCTAAGAACAAGAAGTATCATTTTCTGTTTCTGCTTAAGATTATTTAAAATAAAGATGCAAACTTATTTGCTCCTCCTGTATTGGAAACAAGAAGAAGTGGGGGAGAGAGAAGGAATAAATATATTCATGTACTATTATATTGAGCCATAATCATTCATAGTCCAAAACTAACTTGGAGAGGAAAAAATGCTTTCCTGCTCCTGAATGGGATCAGTGCTGCTTTATACAAACTGTCCAGGATGTTTCTTTTGCTATTGGTTTTCACTTTCTAACCTTTCTGTTTTATTTTGTCAGAAGGCGCCTGCCTTTTTTCAAATGCTAAGTGGTTCTCCTTGTTTTCTCTCAACAACTGTTCTTTCCTCCACATCCTATCTTATCATCATGAAATCTTACTTATTTGGCAAAAAGCGAAAGGCTGCAACATCCCTGAATAGACCTGCCTACAGGTCAGGGCTTAACCTCCTTTCATATCTCCCTAAGTATCTTCTTCTCCTTCTCTGTCTGCAGTGGAAGCTGCTCTTTAGAACAAGTGCCCAATTGTTGCTTTGTCGCTTTTGTCTCGTTTTCTGACAAGATCACTGTCAGAAAGGTGGAGGTTGCCGTCCCTAGAAGCAGGCCTGTTGCACTGCTTTTGTCATTCGTGTAACATTAGTACTTGTTTTGTGAGGCATGGTAGAGCCTCTACAGCCAAGATTTACATTCTGATTCTCCTCTTAAATATTGCAGATTGGCCAGAATTTGTGCTAACTTGTCCTTGAAAAGAATATATTTAAAGACTATTGATGTGCCACGTTTCTCCTCACAAGGATCCATAATTTATTCTTTTTGAACCTGAAGAGAAGTTTCAGTAAGATAGCAGATGCTAAAAGCTGTTCCTGGAAGCAAAGGTTTTCTGTCTTAATTCTGTACGGCAAGGAAAACCAACTATATTATTGAAAATGACACCCTGTCTAAATTTTAACTTCATTTGCCTTGTGGTTTCTTCAGCTATAATTTTGTTTGCTATAATTGTCAAACTCTTGGTTCTGCAGATGAAGTTTTCAGTAACAGAGAACCTGGCAAGAAATTTTGCTTGTTAGAAAAATCTCCTTTGGGAAATTGCATTTATTGTCAACACTGGAGTTTCTGTAGGAAAAAAAAAACCATTTCAAAAATGAAATGAAGTCATTTTTGTCAAAAGCTTAAAAAACAGAGATGCGATCTCTACCATTGCCATCACCCCTGCTATTGAAATGCACAGTGGCACTGTACAGGTAACCCCCGCTTAACTACAATAATTGCTGCTAAATGATGCAGTCATAACACAAGCTGCTTCATGGTGGCAGTTCGGGCAAGTCTCAGGTTACCATCATTAAGCAGGGACCATGCATGTTGTTAAGAGAGGACCTTATTACATTTTCCAAGTTTATGCAGACTTTCCTATTGACTTGGCTTGTGAGAAGTCGAAAGGGAAAGTCACAAATAACAATCACGTGACTATGGGATGTTGTAGCGGTTGGTAAATTGCTGAGTACCCAGATTGCAATCATGTGTCCACAGGATTACTGTGCCAAATGGAATTTCAAGGACTGTTTTAACTACCACTCATTCAGCGCCATCACAAATTTGAACAGTTGCTGAATGAGTGATTAGTTAAATGTCCACCTGTATTACTGTCCACTGAATTTCTTCCGATTTAATTACTAGAGACAATGGCTCACAAACTGGTAGCTGACTTGAAAATAAACGAGTTAAAAAGGTGATTAATAAAAGTTTTATGTTCAGGGACATATGAAGTAACTTGACTACTAGGGCTGTGTAAAGCCTTTGAAAGAGGTTCATCATTATTATGAAAGCATAAATTGAATTATGAAAACAGCCGCGTCTTCTGTATTTTCCAATACTTGAAGAAAGCCAAGCAAACTGGACGCATGTTTAGAGACAGCTGGAACCTGTGTAAAACTACTGCATGCATGAAAAATAAGCTGTTTTTAATTATTAGAAAAGAATTGTTTCCTATATACTCCTTCACATTCTGAAAAACCTCCTCCAAAAACTTTGAATAAACAAGTCATTGCAGTTAGCATGATAAAAAGGTTTGGTGTTTGAATCTATGGTACTATATTTGATTCTGCTTCAAATAACAAAGCTATTATTTTTGTCACGGTACATTCATTTGTCGCAACACATTCACATATAAAAAAAACACGGATTGCCATAAATGCTAATGCTGTATGTACATGGTATATCTTTATCCTTACATTACTTAAGCAGATAAAATGAATTGGGGACTTCTAGGGGATATAATAATTTGCTTCAATTATATGTAGTATCATTGCTTTGAACCAATGAAAATATTGATTAGCTATTTGTTTATGTTTTCTTTTGTAATGCTAATTGGTTTCATTTCCTTTCCTGATTTAGATTTGAAGAAAACTCTTGCAGTCTTACTGGATAATATACTGCAGCGCATTGGGAAGCTTGAGTCTAAGGTTGAGAACCTTGTAATCAATGGCACAGGTACAAATTCCACAAATAGTACCACCACTGCAATTCCTAGTTCGGGGACAGCTGAAAAGCTGAATGTTGCAGGTAGGTCTGAAAACTCTTAGTTTCTGCCCTTTAATTGTGAACTATATAGTGTAATATAAAAATAGTCTACAATAGATTTTATTATTATTATTTTAAAGATTCAGGGGAGGGGAAGGAAACTAAGGAAGGTTCCTCAATTTACAACCATTCAGTGACTATTCAAAATTGCAATAAAACCGAAGGAAGGGAGTTATGACCTGTGCCCAAAGTTACAGCTTTTGCAGCACCTCACAGTCACATGGTAAAAATTAGGATTTTTGGTAGCAGGAATCTGATGCCAACCAGATCAGCCTTCTCCGTGATGATCAAGTCAGCAAATAAGGGGAGCCTTACTAAGATTGACCTGGAATTTAATAGCAATAACCCAAAACCTGGGCCACTGTTGTTCTGCTGACCACTTAAATTGGTTGAGCGCAGGGGGCAAGAACATGAAACAGGTTAAAACATGGGGATTGTGTTCCCTTTGAGTGTCTCTCTCTATCTCCCAACCATTATATCTCCCCATATCCAACACCGCTAAGATACAGTACCTCACCCTATTCATCCCTCCAGTTTGTTCATCCCTCATCCTCAACCTCCTTTCTCAAGCTAAAATGCATCCCCACTCTAAACAACATACATTACAGGTAGAAGAAAACCCGACAGGTGCTATAGCAGCAGTTCTCAGCATCTCCAAGTCACCATGCCTCCCTACTCATATCTTCATCTAGCAGGAATACCCCATACTAATTAATCACTGGAATGAATTAATCAGAACAATTAATCAGTGGAACGGCTTACCTTCAGAAGTTATGGGTGCTGCAAAACTGGAAGTTTTTAAGAAGAACTTTGTCTGAAATAGTATGGGGTCTCCTGCTTGAGCAGGGAGTTGGACTAGAAGACCTTCAAGGTCCCTTTCAAGTTGTTAATTGCTTTCACCCATACTGCAGGGAGCCACTTCACAAGTCTTACCCCTGATTTTCACCCAGAGAAGAGTATCCAAGTACATTCACCTCACTCTCATCCACAGGCCCAAGATTCCCAGAGAAACCTCTTCAAAGTACAAAAACATGTTATTTGAAACCAAATAGTTCAGGATTGGCTTCACATATAGCTGAGAAGATGGTGGCCATGCAAAGCCTTCAGCAGCTGAAGAAGCCAAACACATTATCTAAAATGCTGCTGCTGCAGTCACTGGCTATCCACTATGTGATGTAAATTAATGTAGACACTGTCTCCATCATCTCCCAAGAATCCACTCTTTCCATTGTCTAAAGTATGGACAGAAAGTCTAAGCCAGCAACCTATCATCTATACCTATATATCTCTTGATAGAGGACAGGAGAGCTTACTTTCTTTGCTGTCTCCATTATTGAGGTGTTCTTGGTGCTCTCAGAGTTTGCTTGTTCTCTTGCAGATGTTTCATTATCCAACTAGGTAACATCATGAATGCTGGTAAGGAATGGGGTTTACTGTTGGTTTGTATTCTAGTGGCTTAACCTGTCAGTGATGGTGGGGGTGATCTTAGAGATTCTTTGGTTGGACTGTTTACTGTTGGCTTCTTTGGCAGTTTCTTGATTGGGATATTGATTACTTGATTGTTGGTCTGATGTTCATCTTGTAGCTAATCTGTGCTGATCTGGGTGCTGATTATTGGTCGAGAAGTGCTTAGGTCTTTTTGTTCCATTTTTAGCTAGTTGGTTATTTCTTTTACATAATCTATAGATGTTGTTATGTCTGTGTGTCTATTGATGGCTGATTTGTCAGAATGCTAGGCTTCTAGAAATTCCCTGGCATTTTTTGGACTTGACTGGTCTAGGATGGTCACATTTTCCCAACCATTTTAAATTGGGGTTAAATCTGTCTGTGTGTTTCACTTATCTTTACCATCTTGGATATTGATATAATACATGAAAATGAGTCCTGAACTAAATCGTTTTTTCTTAAAATGAAGAGACAATCAATCAATCAGAATAGAGCTGGAAGGGACCTTGGAGGTCTTCTACTCCAATTCCCTGCTCAAGCAGGAGACCTATACCATTTCAGAATAGTGAAACATTAAGAGGAAATACCACATATCCATATTTCACAACAAAAAATGTAAAGATTTTTTTCCCATACCTGAAAATTTGTAGTCTATTAATTCTTGGGCTTAAATTCAGAACATATGTTTTGTACGCATTTGCATCTGAGAGACTTTTGGAAGTCAAATATCTATCTTCGGTTTAAAGGCATAACAATGCCTCTAAGTAAAGATTTGTTGGGCTTGTTTGAAGTTGAATTTCCAACTAAAATATTGCAGCCATTTTTATTGTAGATTCTGAAATACAAACATTTGTTTTCTTTTTTGATCTTGTTTGATAGTTTTTATCTATCCTATGTTAAGTAGGGCTCCTTTTAGGCAGAAGTTGTTCAAAACTTCTCAAGCCATAAGATGAAATTATATTATGAAATGCCTTCCAATGTAATGTGAACCTGGAAGCTGTGTGGTATTGCTTAAAAAAGTAATAAGGGTGTAATGAATGAGTAACATTTTCTGTTTGCATTGTATTCCCTCCGGGCTATCTGTTCCTAGCTACATCCTGACAGCTGTTACAGCTGTATGATTATTTAATTTATATTCTGCCTTTCAAGTAGGATATAGATGTGGTGGAGAAGTACATTTTATTCTCTCAGCAACTTTGTAGCTTGGTCTAAGAGATAGGAAATATCCTAGTGTGACTCACAAGTTTAATGATTGGGTGGACACTTAAACCTGGCTATCCCTTGTTAGTTACATCCAACATCTGAACAACTATGTCACATTGTGTTGTAATGATGAGGCAGTCGAGTTGTTTGATCATGAACAACTGAATCATGATGATCTTTATTGGAGTCTAGTCTTGCATTTATGCACATTTTTAATTATCCTTCATCATTGGTTAACTTTGGTTACTGCTTAACTTTCGTTACTGTTTAGCACAGTAATCCATACAATTAATTATCTCTAGTTAAAGTCTAACATATGTTTTCTTCCGCTCTCTAATCCTCTTTTAGATTAGTGACTTTGTTTACCTGAGTTGTATTTGCTTGGAAACATTCTTTATCTGAGGTTTTCCATCCGAGATTGGAACATTCCTGCAATTACAACTCTACAACATTGGCCACTGTCATTCTCTTCTTTGTTTGTTTTCTATCATGTGTGACACAGGGTAAGATACACTTCTTCCTTGCATGTTCATTTTTTCTTCCACTCTTATCACTCCTGTTATCTGTAATGGAATCAAGCCAGAATGACAGTCCTCAAGATCAGCCATATTCCCATACCTCATGTACATTCACTGAATACTGGGTAAGGTAAAGGTTTCCCGTGTCCAGTTGTGTCCAACTCTAGGACGCTATGCTCATCTCTGTTTCTTGGCTGGTGGTGCTAATATTGTCCAATGACATTTCCATGGTTATGTGGCCAGCATGAATATATGACAATGGCACACGGAATACTATTAGCTTCCCATTGAAGTGGTACCTATTTATTAATTTTCATTTGCATGCTTTTGAACTGATCGGTGGGCAGGAGCTGAGGCAAGTAATGAGAGCTCACCCCATTGTACAGCACTGGGGTCTTGAAGTCCACCTGTCAGTTTTCCAGCTCACAAGCTCAGGGTTTTGTTTGTTTTTTATAAATATACTTTATTAATTTTTACAATTAAAACCAATCACAATACATACACAAATAAGCAAAAGAAAAAAAAGAAAGAAGAGAGGAGAGGAAGAGAGGGAAAGAATTTTGAGAAAAAAAAGAAAAAGAAAGGGGGAAGAAAGAAAGAAAGAGGTTACAAAGTAAAAAGTATTCTTATTTTAACAGTTTGCAAGATCTTCTTTCGTTTTCATAACCTTAACTTGTGTCATATAACCACACCTGTTTTTAACTTATATCGCTACCTTGTTATTATAGGTTGATACTTTTCTTTCATGCCTTATGATATATAATTTATCTTTGATCAATCCAATTATACCAACAATTCCAGCTATCGTAGTTATAGTGACGTGTCTTTGTTTTTTAGCGCCAAAGTCAATTTATCCATTTCTGCACAATTTGAGATTTTTTCAATAATCATTTCTTCTGATGGTGGGCAGGAGCTGAGGCAAGTAACAGCACTGGGGTCTTGAACTCCAGCTGTCAGTTTTCCAGCTCACAAGCTCAGGGTTTTTAACCACTGAGCCAATATGCCTCTTGGGACCAAAACATAAATCCAATGGAAAAGCGCTGCTGATGGACAGGGCTATTTTCTGCAAAGGTAGAAATCCTTAAGATATGTGACATCATATCTTAGGCTAAAGAATACTAATAAAAAGCATTCAGGGAAGGAAAAAATACATGAAACTTTGAATCCCAGAGTGACTTTAATGGGAATTTATTTTTTGTCTTGGGTTGTGGAGGCAAACTGAGACAGTAAAGAGGAAAGTATCCTATTTATGTTAAATTTATATTTACCAACAAAGAAATAAAGGGAGATAAATATCTTATTTATATTTTTCTGCTTTGGCAGGGCTTATTCACACCCCTCCTATAGCAACAGAAAGGAGTAGAGTTGTCCATTATATTTCTAGGAGTTTTTGAAGATTTGCAATACATAGACAGGAATTGACATTTGTGATTTCCCTCTCCCTGGTGTGTTTTTTTAAGGTTTATTTTCTTGAAAGTTTAGAAATGATATAAGTCAGTTCAAAAAGAATCTTGATAATTTATCAACTAGTGCTAGAAATGGATGGACAGAGAGGCAGCATAGGAAATGAGAAAAAGGAAAATATATTATTCCTTCCAGCTTGTGGCAGAAAACCAGTTTGGGAGAAAAAGGAGAAAAAAGGAGTAATTGTTTTAAAAATGATGAATGAAAATAATGTTAATTGCTTTATAAGGTATTGATTTTTGAGGTTTTTTTTTTCTTTAGAAACATAGTTCTTTCTTCTATTTTATGAAGTATAATTGTTATGGCCTCTATCCTGTTTACCATGTCTCAACAATCTTTTCCCCTTTGGTTTCTTGATTTTTGTTTGTTTTTTATTTGTCAATCAGTCTGCTCATTTTTTTTTCCTGGTTGCCATAAAGGAGCATGTTTTGATTCTATTTTCTGCTGCATTCTGCAACTGGGTACTGTTGTAATTCATGTTTAATTAAGAGAGAAATTATGCCTAATTTTTCATAAATAAAATTGCTATGCTGTAAGTGGTGATACATTTCATGTTCTTAAAATGATAATATTAAGCGTGGTGTTTTTAATGAACTTTTCTGGCCTTCTATTAGTACAGTACAGCAATATGGGAAATAATTATTTGGAGGCCTGAAGTTGAGGTCGGCACACAACCTAATTTATCACTATGTTTGATGAGATTCTGGGCGAATCTTGGAGTCATATATTTCTAAAGCAGGGATCTTCAAGCTTGACAGCTTTAAGACTTGTGGACTTCAACTCCCAGAATTCCTCCTCCAGTCATGTTAGCTCAGGAATTCTGGGAATTAAAGTCCCCAAGTCTTAAACTTGCCAAGTTTGAAGACCCTTGTTCTAAAGGCACTCGGATATCTAGATTTTTTAAATGGTTAAATAAAGATTGGGTATTCTTATTTAGCTTTGTGCAAGACTAAGATTAACTCCTTAGATAATATTCCACCTTTCTTCTAGGAATGCCATATAGAACACATTGCACTCCAACAATTTTTCCACAAGTTACTATGGAACAGGTTCAGCTAAGAATTAATGACAAGCTTAACTCAAACTCACCCACCTCTTTAACAGTTGCATCACAGCATGGGCATAGCAGGAAAGGAAGTGTCAAGAGTCCCAGTTGCTCATTTTAACCTTGCAGATTGTGGAATCAAGATCTGAATAGAATAACCTAAACAGTCTGATTGTGATATTTCATGCTCCATGTGCGTTCACTATTTGTAAGGTTTTCTGAAAATACCCTTTTTTTTTCTTTTTTCCTAAGATGAACACATCATTTCAAACTATATATCTTGGGAGGATGGAGGGGAAAATTGATGATTGTGACATATTTAACTTATTAAGGAAGTTAAGAAGGAGGGATGAAGTAAACCAAAGGTGTCAAACTCGCCACATCATGTTGCAGTCATGTGACGTTTTGCAAAGTTTTTTCCCATTCGTGGAGCTGGGGTGGACATGGCCTGCACGTGATGCATCTGGCCCACGGGCCGCCAGTTTGACACCCCTGAAGTAGACATAGCGTATTAAGCCTGTCTCTGTCAAGATATATAAAAAATAATCATTGCTTTGTTAAATTGCCAGTTGTTTTATTGAACTTTTTTGCCTTGTGATCTTTAAAATGTACAGAAATAGTGCTATGTTGAGTGAAAAAAAGAAAGAGAGATTTCTGTCCTTCTAAAAAGAAAAAGAAAACTTGGTGATAATTATAAAGAGACTTTACACTTAGTTTCTTCCATGACAGAAAAATGAGTCTTTTGAAGACTTCTCTTTGAATTACTTACAGATCATCTACTGAGTGACAGGCATAGAGCTCAGCCAAATTAGTAATTGTATATAGGTTTCCTGTGTTTTCTAAAATGTCAGCTGTACAGATTAAGTTAATTATGCACAGGCTTTAAAGGGGATTGTCTTAATTACTGTGATAGTCTTGGCAGTTATCATGGCTAGTAGTAAGGTCTGCCTTCTCTTCTTGTAGTTCCAAGGCCTTTGTTCTCATAGACTTCTCCCTTTAATATCCATATATTTGTCTTCCATAACCTGCATATCAGATATATTGATGTAGCAGTTGCCAAAAATACTATAGTACTGTGATACTGTCTATAAATTTGAAAGCTGCAGTGCAATCATATCTGGGTATACCAGGTTGGGCTGTTGTCAATCCCCTCATAACTCTTCCATTATGAAGTAATCCATTTGTATCAGCAATTTGAGCTATGTAGCAATTAAGTTACATTTGCACCTAACATACAAGCCTGTTATCTTCTTGATTTTATTTATTCTGTTTTTATATTGCTACATTCACTGAGCACTCGCGGTGGTTTATTACCATATAGTAAAACAACCACATAACCATCAAATAAAAGTAGCATATGAGTAAAAATGTGCATTGGACATAACCCACCAACAATTATTTTAACTGTTAAAATCTCTTTTGAGCAGTTCTGTTTTCACAGTCCCAGGATATTTGGAGATAGGTTGCTGTATAGCTTTCTATGGAAAGGTTGTTCCAAAGGGTTGTAGTCATAACTGAGAAGCATTTTGCTTCAGTCTTTCGAAATTCCTGCAAAAGAAGCTCTTGATATCCTACACAGGATGTCCAGAAAAGGTGGACAGGTACTACTTAAAGGAAATAATCCTGCAGATATCTGGGCACTAAGCCATGTAAGGCTTTATAGCTCAAAAGCCAGTATGGGTAGTACTCAACTTACAACAGTTCGTTTTTCATCAAGGATACAACGGTGTTGAAAAAAGTGACTTAAGACCATTTGTCACACAACCATTGCAGCATCCCTGCAGTCACATGATCAAAATTCAGATGCTTGGCAACCGGTTCATATTTATGAAAGTTTTAGCTTTTTTGGGCTCAATTGTGGTGGTAAGTCAAGGACTGCTTGTGCTTTGAATCATGCTGTGATAAAAGTGCACCAATGCATTAACATTGATTGAAATATTCCCTGTGAAGATTTCTTACAGAGCTGACTGCTACTTTTAGCACTTATTTCCAAATAACTCTATAAAGTCAGTCATAAGGCATTGTGGTATTATCAGAAGTAGCCAGGGCACCTCCTCCAGGAATGGATGCAGCAGATAACGCTGGTATGGCTTCCACCTTCCTATCTGGCTATAGTCATGAATTTAGGAGGCTTGCCAAGACCTGGACTTGCTCCATCAGGAAGCCTTCAGTTTGTGGATTGTCATTTTGTTCCTGTTGCAAGTTCAAGATAGTAGAAACACTAAGCAAGATGCATGTACATAAATTCCATTTAAAAAGTGTTTTATTATAAAAAATAAGCTTTTTTATTAAAAAGAAATATTAATTAACCCTTTTTACTTCCACAGCTATCTTCTCTCCTCTTCCTAACCCATGGTATTTTTACATAAAGCCTAAATGTTCGAAATATGTAAGGGAAATCAGTAGCTTGAAAAGGTGATTCCAAACGTTTGGTTTGACATTCCCATCCTAAGAGAGTTTTCATACTTCAGTAACCGTCAACAGAGCTACTATTAATAGAGCAAGCCAAAATTAGATATTACAGGGATACAGATAAAAAGTTCTGCTGAAAAGAAATCTATTTTAAGAATAGAATTGGGTTTAGAGAATTATTGCTTTTTTACCATAGTTATTGCTACGCAAGAATTGAAATAATCTTTTCTGCTTTAGTTATTATTTGCATCACATTTTCTGTCTGAGCCACCTATTACCTACCGTTAGTTCCTGATGTTCCACCCCATTATATGATTTATCAAGCATTCCTGCTCAGCAGAAGGATACATGGCTGTAAGCTAATTATGCCTACTCCGAACTCGTTTCCATATGATACAAATTAACCGAATCCATATGATACAGATTGAGCTTTGTCATGTGTAACAAACATGTCAGCTAAAAACTCTGCCTAAAGCTCTTGAGGACGAATCAGATTATATCACTGCCCAGTGATAAATCATTATAATAGATTTTTTTTTATTATCATGCTGGGGGGAAAAAAGAACTATTTATCCAAATGAACTAAATAAAATAAAATGGTTTGACTGTGACAGTGGGGTCAACTTCCCATTACCTCACTGTAAAATTTCTGCCCAGTCAATACCACCAGTACAAGAGTGTGGCACAAAGTATATATCTTGGTTTACTGTCTTGTTTGTTGTCGTGGCAACCTTGAATTCCTGACTTACTCTGTCATAACATGAAAGTTGCTCTCAAAAATCGTTAGCCTGTCAACATGTCTGACAGGTTACCAAAATTTTGGAATCCCAACTTAGTTGAATAACACAATGAGAGAAGGTTTTGGATCCTACAGTTCTCACTAATCTCCATTTCTGTCTGTTTTTACACATATAATAAAGTATTTTAAATGAATGTATTTATTGGAAAACTCCGTTTTAATTTTAACGGGTTTTGAGCCTTTATCTACTCTTCTTACTAAAATTGTTATTCAGACCTTTGACTTCCATCAGCTAATTGAATGATAGCTGTACTTTAGTTTAAGGAATAGGTTAATTGCATTTCTGGTTAAAAAGTTAGTTGTACTTAATTATAAATGATAAACAATTATTTCCATTAATTCTTAATAACCTCTCATGTCTGAGCATATTTGATGCACATTCCATTTATTATTCCTTGGTTTCATGGCCCTTTTCCAATTTCCCAGCAGAGAGATGAGGAAGAAGACTGTTGCATTTTTAGAACTCCATAAGTATCTTGGCAATGATTCATCCTCACAGTCAGCTGAGGTGGAAAAAATGCTAATCTCTTCTCATGTGTTTAATATTACGTATTACATTGTGTTAATTTTTCTTCTTCAGATCTCATTAACGGAGCCCAGGAACAGTGTGAATTGCCTCCTATGGATGGTTTTCCTCACTGTGAGGGCAAAATAAAAGTAAGCTTCATCTATTACACCATTTATTTGCCTGGATGTATTAATTCTCCAACAGAAAATGTTCTATTGCTCCCATTTCATCTGACAATTTCCTAATTGATCAAAAGACATGGGGTGGAAAAAAATACAATTGTCTGTTAGCATGTGACATATTACTATATGAGTATGATAGCTGAAGCAAAGTGTCTAATAATTCATAAGGGATCAAGTAATTGATAAGGTATTGATTCAGATGCCAAAAATAATGTATAAACCTCTTCTTTATGAAGAAGTTGAATAGTAAAATGTTGAGGATTGCAATTGTATTTGAAGGGCAAGAATAAAAAGAGCCCTTCTGTGAGGAGATGGGTATCTAAGAATTTTGACATAAATATATAAATACTAGTAATATTAGTTTTCTGTCTCATTTACAAAGACAAACCTAGTTGGATGAACTCCATATAAACAATGTAAACTTCCTGTCACCTATGTAGATAAATAGCAATATACTTATATACTGCTTTTTAGTGCTTTACAGCCTTCTCTAAGCAGTTTAGTCAGCATATTGCCCCCAATAGTTTGGGTCCTCATTTTACCGACCTTGGAAGGATGGAAGGCTGAGTCGACCTTGAGCCTGGTGGGATTTGAACTGCCAAATTGCAAGCAGCTGGCTGCAGTAGAAGCAACTTTCAATACTGCACTCTAACCACTGCACCACAGAAGCTCTTAAATGATCAGCATTTCCCTGTAAATGATAGCAATTATCTCTTCCAGATAACTGAACTTTGCCTTGACCTTGTTGATTTAAAATGCTATTAAAGCAGTGTACTTAGTATTGCACCAAGATTCATAAGAACCCAAACCTGTTGATTGAATGCATATGTATTTTTGTTATTATTGTTGCTTTCCTTTCTAGTGGATGAAAGATATGTGGAGATCAGATCCTTGTTATGCAAGTTACGGTGTTGATGGGTCTACATGCTCATTCTTTATTTACCTCAGTGAGGTGAGTAAATTTTCATTTCAATTAATATATTATGTTTTAGTGAAGTTGATCTGAAAGCATCTGATAAACAGGTAGTAGTATGTAAAATCTTGGGCTATACATATTTGCCAGTCTTTAGAGTAAAAGAGTTTGTATTGCTTATGCTGCAAGAGATTACTATAGATATGCCTATGAAAAATTACTCTAATTTATTAATCTAATAGCATGAAAATATTAAGTTTTCATTTTGCTATACAAATTTCTTTCCTGAGGAAAATGGCATCTCCTTTTTCTCTTTTCAACTAATTATAATTTATCAATATTTGCACCCCTGTGAACTGGGTTTAGATGCCAGAACGAGCTCTGCCATTCTTTGAGGAAATGTTTTGCTTTAATGAAGGCTGGCTTTGAGGGTTTTTTTGCATGTGGCCCCTTTTAGAGCATCGTAAATCAGCCTGTTCTGACCCAGGCTTAGCAGAACCAAGAAACAGAGTTCTTGTCCCGAAAAACCCCTCTTTATTTAGTTACTGTGAATTCATGGCATTCACATACAGAAAAGTCCTGGCAATAATCCTCCCAAGGGTTAATTGCAAGAACAGACATTACCAGTCCTTGGATAGTTGCCAGGCCAGAGCTTCAGTAGCAAAGCTGTAAATTAAAGGAGTCTGATAAGCAAATCTTCCAAAAGAAATGTGAACTAATAGTCTCCTGCAACCATTGCTCTCCATTTGCTTCTATTTATTCCCTAAGGAGGGGCCATTCAGCGTCCATGTGTGCCTTTCCTTCCGAGTTGGCCCCTGTTGCTTAATTGTTCTGCTCTCCTGACAGCTCTGCGCATTTGTGCATCTGGAACAGGTTCCAACCATTCCTCCTCCCCACTTATCTCTGGCTCTGTAGGTAGTTGGGAAATGTCAAACAGCCCCAGCCCCATCTCTGCTTCCGACGCAGAGCATCCATCAGAGTCTTCCCCAGACTCGAGAACTGGCCCAAGTTCTACCCATCCTCCTCACTGTCTGAGTCTGCCACCAGTTCTGCTAGCAGCTGGCGGGCCACAACACAGCCACTCTCCTTTGCCTGTTACTGTTGTGTTAACCAAAAGTGCCAAGTAGAATACAAGTAGTTCTTGACTTACGACTAGTCACTTAGCGACCATTTAACTACCCCGACCTCCCCGGGGATATTTAGAACCTGGTTCCAACATTCCAACCAGCAGACAGGGGATCAATCATGTGACTGCATTTGGGTGCTCGGCAACTGGCTGCCAAACCCAAGGAACCAAGAACAACATGAAGAATTACTTCAATGTAGTTTCTTTACCCATGCAGGGTCCATTACAGCCCTAAATTGAGGACTACCTGTATAAGCAAACTTCCCCTGGTCAATGGCTTCTTTCATTGTTGCTAGTTGCCTTCTGAAATTTGCTCAACTACAGTACCAGAGTCAGTACAGTTCCTTTGTTCCTATTACATTTTAACCAATGGCCAATTTAATTCAAGTATGTTATATTGCATAAAAATGGACACATTTATTACTGATTTGTTAAGTATTGACTTATATTGACTTAAAGTTCTACTTATAACAGAAAAAGAAAAGGAGAAGGAGCAAACAGTATTTCAGGCAAATCTTAGGGACTTTTGAAACTGGTAAATGGCCTCACAATTAAAAAAATATGTTCCATTAATATGAGATTGTGCTGAAATGTAGTCAGGGGTCCTAGGTAGCTCCTTTTCAGAGAACAAAGGGGCAGCATAGCTTGGAATAGGAAGAGGGTAAAAATGGATTCTTCCTAGCAGTTCACAGAGTATATCTATAGTTATGCAGATACCGGAAGTTATTTTGATCCAGAAATATTCCACACCAGGGGTGTCAAACTTGCGTCATCACATTGTTGTCACATGACGTATTGCAACTTTCCCCCCTTCACTAAACCAGAAGTGGACATGGCCAGTGCATGACACATCTGGCCAGTGGGCCATGAGTTTGACACCCCTATTCTACATGAACAACAATAAAGAAGCTACTCAGAAGTAACTCCATGTGTTGTTCTTGGTCTATGGAGTCTGATAAATGTTTTATCAATAAAAAGTCTTACACTGATCACTATCTATTGTAAGCAGTGTGGTTTAGATCTGTTTGTTACAATGTATAGTTTTGTATGTAAACATTTTGAGCAGGTACAGTCACTATCTTGATGCTGCAGTGGTTCAGAGACCCCATGTGTTTGGTGTGAATTGACCTAATTATCCATGATGGATAATAAACCATTGGTAATATGCTGAATGGTTTGTGCCTTCTGTTTCTGCAGTGCACTTATTGAGATTTTGGTAGTGGAGGCAAGGTAATTTTTCCTTGACTTTCATCATACTCCACTCTGTAGATATGAAGCAATAGTCTGGAAGAAGGGTTTTAAAGTTTTATTTATTTTTTGAATGGTTCTTTCCTGGTTTTGAATCATTTAGTTGCTGCATAATCCATTTCAAGTATTGTTTTTTGGTCCGCACACTATTCTTCATTATATAGGTAGTATACACATGTTTAACAAGGACAGTCTGTGATTTGTTGTCTACACATGAAAAAGTCTTAATATAATTGAAAAGGCAAAAAATGAATGCCTTTGAGTGAAATACTCTTGAATTTTCCATTATTTATTAAATATCTCTAATATGATCAAGTGCATTTGCTTCTTCTAAAACCAAATGTGTACCTTTGGTGGTTTTCATTTCATGTATTGTTGACGTATTGACTGTAATCTTTAGAATTATCATATTAGTATGTGAGATAAGTGAAACTGCTTGTAAGTCTGAATATTATTCAGCACTTTGGTTTGTGAGTGTTACTATTTTGGTATCATTCAATATGCCACTCCTTGTATTTTATTGAAGATTAACAATTGTTTGCTTTCTTGATTTTTGTAATGCAAAATTATAAGTGAGTAATTTGATATTGTGTTATGCTGAATAAACACTTGTTTGTTTCATACTTTTTATCTGCTGATAAATCATCAGCCTTGGTTGTAGATGACACAGAATAGTGTGTGTCACATCTATGTGTGTAGCTCTTTAATTATTTTTGTACATTTTATGTCAGCCTTCAAAAGATGTTAGCTAATTAATATCTCCCTCACATCAAGATGTATTCCTGGCCTGTAATTGCAAATGTTGTTATCAATATCTTTTTATAGACAGCCTACATAAACATATTATAGAGGATACAATAAACCTCGTCCACCATACCTTCAAAAGAAATGTGATAATTGTGGTTGAAAGGTGTTTTTTTTAAAGATCAGTGAATCTTGACCCTTCTAATTTTGGCATGGAAAAATTAAATTATTACTTTTGATTAACTGCAACACATTATAAAATAGGTTGAGATCCTAATTCTAATCCAACAGACTGTTTATTTTGCTTTGAGTAAGGAGCTTAAATAACATTAATCTCCAGGAATATCTCTGGCTATATTTGCCTGGACACAATGGTCCATCCTTAAAACTCTCCCTCTGGGTGTTTGCATTAAGTAAAATTAGGTGTTTGAGTACAAAGGGGGAAGCATTCATAATTCTCAATCCTATACTTGTTGCGTACAAGTAGTCCTTGATTTACAATAGTTCGTTTAGTGAGTGTTCAAAGTTACAACGGCACTAAAAAAAGTGACATACCAATTTTTCACACAACTGTTGCGACATCCCCACGGTCTCATGATCAAAATGCAGGTGCTTGGGAATTGACTCACATTTACCATTATAGTGTCCTGGGATCTTATGCTTACCTTTTGCAATCTTCTGACAAGCAAAGTCAATGGGAAACCCAGATTCACTTAACAACTGTGATACTAATTTAACAACTGCAGTGATTCATTTAACAACTGTGGCAAGAAAGGCCATAAAATGGTCTTACTTAGCCACAAAAAATTGGGCTCAATTGTAGTCGTAAGTTGAGGACTACTTGTATTTGCTGTAATGTTGGATGTCGTATATAGTGCCCATATATAGTGATTTTGGGGCCAGGCGAGGCATTCTTATCTAGGTATTTTTGTAATTTTTACAGGTAGGTTTTATTTTAGGTGTACAAACAATAAAGGATAAGCATTTTATGTTTTATAATGCATAGTATTTTATTGTTTGCTTTTTTATATTTTTATTATTTTAATAGGTTGATAATCCACATTGAGAACTTTGGTTATTGGCACATTAACAATTGTAATAGTAACAGATAATAATAACAATAGCCAAATCATTAGCTAGTGTTACAAACTGTTACTTGTTTGACATGTAGCCTACTTTACCATATACTCTGCTGGAATAAAAGTAACTAGAAGTTGGAAAGAAAGAGCCAATTAAATTGTCATCACTTATATTGCATTTGTTCCTTTGTATCTTTTATTGGATGGTAGCTATCCTATTAGATAGGTTTAAGTTCATGGAAAATGCTAGGAACCTAGTTCAACGCTATGTATGGATGCTTGGCTTATTTGGAATTTTAAAAATACATAGATACCCTTCCAAGATACAGTTTTTACAGGAAGAAAGTACACATTTATTTGTACTACATTATTTAAATAGATGAATAAATGTTTTACAAACTTACTCTATACAGAAGCCTGATGACGGCAGATGAGATTCTGCCGAAACATTGCTACAACTTTAAAAGCACAACTGTAATGACGTGGGAAAATACCCGAACAAAGCTGAATATCATAAATGTTTTAGAATATATTCTCATCCATCCATTAGAAAGTATAGGCCTAACTTTGCCATTTCATACTTCAACTTTGTAAAAAAATCATGCTTAGATTAAGGCTTAGATATATGTATGTATGTGGGGCATTTAATCCCATTGGGACATAATTTTTTATAACCCTCTTTCTTATAGAATTCAGTTTTTCTTTTCTTTTTTTAGCAGAGCTTTGTGCTTTACTGCTAGTGTGGTTATGAATGAAAACTAACAATTTTTAAAGGCTGCCTATTATTATTTCTTTCTGAAACCTACAGTACTAGCTAGAATATTGGATGGCTGATGTTCTGACTAAAAGCCATCTCTTGAATTACAAAGGGCTCGTACATTTCCATATTGTCCAAAAATACTGGATCACCTGGCAGAAGGTTTGAACTTTTGCTATGGGGAAGCAAAGAAGTGCCATCAGGATTTAATCACAAGTTATTCAGCATGCACACTTAATCCTACCATTCATACTGCAGTTTATGATAAGCATCCATATATGAAAACTTAAGTATTAGTGATTGCAAACATGAAAGGAAATTCTTGTATCTATTACAGCAGTGTGGGATATATGAATTAGTCTCGCTGATGAAAGTCATTTGGAATTGGCATTTTATATGGCTGTTTGGACAGTGGTAGAGAATTAAGAGTTTATGTTTAAAGTATTTTAGGAGAATTAGAAACGAATGGAACTAGAAGTTTTAATGGTAAAAAAATTAGATATATTAAGGAGGAAAAAACTAATATTTTATATTCCACAATCACTGATGGAAATCCCCCAAATAGAGGGGTGCCGCACTGTAGCTTTTCATTTAACATATTGAAAACATATTTAATTGTAACATTAGCTTGATTATAACTCTTTTCTGTGCTGGTGCTGTGCCTACTTAGTTTCTCTAAGACAGGAGTGTCAAACTCAAGGCCTGGCGGCCAGATCTGGCCCATGGTATGCTTAGATCTGCCCCTCCCGAGCTGTGTTTTCGCTGGCAGAAAGTTGCAGGAGGTTGTTGCAACTGAAAACTGAGTTCACGAGAGCTGCAGTTGGTTTTTACTGGCAGAGAGTTGCAAGTGGCCGTTGCAGGCGGAAATGGAACTTGGGAGATCATTTTTGCTGGCAGAGTGCTTGGGCCACCCCAGGAGCACCCAACACGAATGATGTTGAGCTGGGCGTGTCCACCCTGGCCACACCCATCCCGGCCCCCCAAGGTCAAACACAACCCTGATGCGGCCCTCAATGAAATCGAGTTTGACAGCCCTGCTCTAAGACATAGAAGAGCTGGATAATGATCTCATATGATGGTTATACATGCAGTTTATATACATCAGAATGAAGTTCTGTATGGCTCAAGGAGTTGCATCTATGTCAGTAAGCACAATGCCATAACATTTTAATAACTGAAGATTCTTTCTTCAGGAATAATTATTTAAATTGGAACAATTCAAAAGCAAACTCACTGTTACAATTTGTTGAATAATTGCCCATTTCAGAATATACACTGCTCAAAAAAATAAAGGGAACACTTAAACAACACAACATAACTCCAAATCAATCACACTTCTGTGAAATCAAACTGTCCACTTAGGTAGCAACACTGAGTGACAATCAATTTCACATGCTGTTGTGCAAATGGAATAGACAACAGGTGGAAAGCATAGACAGTTAGCAAAACAGAAAGGAGTGGTTCTGCAGGTGGTGACCACAGACCACTTCTCAGTTCCTATGCTTTCTGGCTGATGGTTTGGCCCCTTTAAATGCTGGCGGTGCTGTCATTCTAACGGTAGCATGAGACGGAGTCTACAACGCACACAAGTGGCTCAGGTAGTGCAGCTCATCCAGGATAGCACATCAATGCAAGCTGTGGCAAGAAGGTTTGCTGTGTCTGTCAGCGTAGTGTCCAGAGCGTGGTGGCGCTACCAAGAGACAGACCTGTACATCTGGAGACGTGGAGGAGGCTGTAGGAAAGCAACAACCCAGCATCAGGACCGCTACCTCTGCTTTTGTGCAAGGAGGGACAGGAGGAGCACTGCCAGAGCCCTGCAAAATGATCTCCAGCGGGCCACAAATATACATGTGGCTGCTCAAACGGTCAAAAGCAGACTCCATGAGTGTTGTATGAGGGCCTGACGTCCACAGATGGGGGTTGTGCTTACAGCCCAACACCATGCAGGACGTTTGGCATTTGCCAGAGAACACCAAAATTTGCAAAATTGCCACTAGCGCCCTGTGCTCTTCACAGATGAAAGCAGTTCACACTGAGCACATGTGACAAATGTGACAGGGTCTGGAGATGCCGTGGAGAACATTCTGCTGCCTGCAACATCCTCCAGCTTGACCGGTTTGGCAGTGGGTCAGTAATGGTGTGGGGTGGCATTTCTTTAGGGGGCCACACAGCCCTCCATGTGCTCTCCAGAGGTAGCCTGACTGCCATTAGATACCGAGATGAGATCCTTAGACCCCTTGTTGAGACCATATGCTGGTGGGGTTGGCCCTGGGTTCCTCCTAATGCATGACAATGCTAGACCTCATGTGGCTGGAGTATGTCGGCAGTTCCTGCAAGACGAAGGCATTGATGCTATGGACCGGCCCGCCTGTTCCCCAGATCTGAATCCAATTGAACACATCTGGGGCATCATGTCTTGCTCCATTCACCAATGCCATGTTGTACCACAGACTGTCCAGGAGTTGGGGGATGCTTTAGTCCAGGTGTGGGAGGAGATCCCTCAGGAGACCATCCGCCACCTCATCAGGCGCATGCCCAGGCATTGTAGGGAGGTCATACAGGCACGTGGAGGCCACACACACTACTGAGCCTCATTTTGACTTGTTTTAAGGACATTACATCAAAGTTGGATCAGCCTGTAGTGTATTTTTCCACTTTAATTTTGAGTGTAACTCCAAATCCAGACCTCCATGGGTTGCTGAATTTGATTTCCATTGATAATTTTTGTGTGTTTTTGTTGTCAGCACATTCAACTATGTAATGAACGAAGTATTTAAAAAGAGTATTTCATTCATTCAGATCTAGGATGTCTTATTTTTGTGTTCCCTTTATTTTTTTGAGCAGTGTACTTTATGAAGATTTGTTTGCTCTGTTTAATTGTGGAAATACCCCTATCTAACCAATACTGATAATTGATTGATTCTAATAAAATATGCAGGATTGGATGCTATCTACAAAATAAAGTTATATGAGAATTTTTAATACTGGCTTTGCTACCAGGTCAGTATCTCTACCCCCTCCCAAACATTTCTCAGTTTTCTGTTGCTTGTGGACTAAATTGCCAAAATATTTTGGCTATCTTTTTTTTTTTTTTACATGTAAGATTTTCCTTCATTCTATCTTTGTGGAACCATTACCAGTGCAGACACTGCTCAGTCCAAGAATATGTTTCATAAGAAAAACTTGAAAAAAACACCCCATAAATAGAAATTGTGTGAATGTGAAATAATCCTTTATTTAATCTGGAGTGGCTTTACTTTAATCTGGAGTTACTTTTTTTTAACTTTCTTTTACTTTTCTCACCATCATACTTTCCATTTCAGCACTGCCATCCCTGTATTTTATTTTCAGATAACAAAATTGGTTTACCCATTTTCAGCATATGTATTCACCTACTTCTCTGGCTTTTAAGTTTGTATTATTTTCTGGATTTTTTTAAAAATATCAGGATAAAAGGACCAAAGGAAATTAATTTTTTTTTTCTGGGAATAAAACCACAATCCAATAAAGAAATGCATGATGTTAATATTGGTCTGCATGGCAATTGATATTGAAATAAGCTGATATATTTTTCAAAAGGCCGCAGGGAGAATGAATATTCATTATTCTCACACAAATTCTTCCTCTTACATGTCACTTTTTCTTTTGAAGTCAAGTATTTTCTGACTGAAAGCAAACCCAAATATTGAAACCATTGAATGGAAAGAAGTACAATATGTAATATCACATCACTGATCCTTTCAAGTTCTGAATCATGTTTTGAATGGGCTTTTTTCACATAGCCGAAAACTCTGTATGTCTCTTCCACCAGTATGTGTATATTGAGAAAGTGAACATTGATAGTGAACAAAAACATTGTTTAAATATGACATTTATTTCCCAGTAGTTTGTTGGTTGTTCTATCTATCAGGAATTAGATTATCTTCTAATGATTTCTTTCTGCTTTGTAAACAATTTATATTTGGATGTATATTTGGAAGTCCTTAGACCTTTGGTGAACAGTTTCATCTTGTGGATAGCATTTTAGACATTATTTGATAACAGAAAGCCAGCAGCTGGTTTTTGTATTTCAATTCTCAGCCCCAAAACAGTAGAAACTAAAGGAGGGTGATTTCTCATGTACTGTAAGAAGTTAACCCAATATCTCATCTAGCTGTTACTGTAAAATGACAAAGATTGAAACCAGGCCACCCTCCCCAAATGGGGGGGGGGGGGGCAGTCAGCCTTCTGCAGAATTCAGACAGAATAAACAATGGGAAAATGGAACGTTGCTGTCACTTTTTATAAATCTTGTATTGGATGCATGCAAGTTACTGGAATTATTTCATAATGACTTCCTTGCTTTCTTCAATACAATTCCTTATCAGAATTTCCTGGGTTCTTATATGCTTAATTAGCTCCAGTGTAGCCTGCCAGGCAAAAATTTAACTATGATGCATCATGTGATGAGTATCATATCTTCATTTCTAAAATTTGTAATGGCATATATGTATATATATATAGAGAGAGAGAGAGCAGCTAATCTGGGGTCTGTTCTGTTTTCCAGGCTAAGTAAATATTCTGATAGAACTATTCCCTGGTCTTGAAAACTATTGTTTTTGTGTTACTGATATGACCTAATAAAAGGTAACCAATTTATTGGAGGACAGAAGGAAACCTTTAGAAGTGAAGCTATTTCTTGTATCTTTTGAACTTCATTGCTGTTTTTGCTATCTTCCTAAAATCGTTTTTGTCACCTGCTGAACTTTAGCTGTTCTGTTATGTGTGCTATTAAATAAGGATGGAATTGCATCAACAAAGTATACAGTTGGTCATTTTACTGGATTTTGAAGCTGAACCTAACACTTTTGCAGGTTGAAAATTGGTGTCCTCGTTTACCCTGGAGAGCAAAAAATCCCAATGAAGAAATGGACCAGAAGACATTGGTAAGTCTTACTCCCATTTCAAATTGGCTTTGGAATTGTTTTAGGTTTTTTTAAATAGATTTCTCAATGTTTCCACTAAGAAAAATAAAGTATAGATAGCAACACAGAGAATTAGTGCAATTGTATCAGCTGATATTCTGAGAATGGTCTTGCCCTATCATCTCCCCCCACACCCTTTAACTACTATGGAAAATACCAGTGTGTTGAAAATAGGTTTTGAGAAAAAAAAGTTAAAAATTTAATCACTCAGCAAATATTCATACACATGGCTCAATTTGTAATGACTGGATTTATTGAATTTGCAAAAGGTATTTCAGATTTAAGTTCAGAAACTTTATTTATTGGTAGTCAGTGAACTGTGTTAGGATGTAGCATATCTTCACTGGAATTTTGATAAGTAAGGGAACCAAATATGATAAATCAGGATTTTTCAAGGGTCAGCAACTTTCAGCTTTGGTGTCCCCAAGTGCCATTGCTAGATTTCAGAAAGACCTTCTGTATCTTGCTATTCTCGCGTGAAATGTTGAGAGATTTCACATTTCATTTAGAAACTCAGCTAAGATTTTCTGACACCTGTGAGTAGTATTGCGAATCATTTTTAACATTAATTTAACATTAATTTTTAACATTAACTTTCTACTTTTGAATTTTGAAACATCTGTACGTTCCTTACATATAATGAAAATGAAACCACAACCCTTCGCCTACACAAACACATGCAGGGAAATTTTGATTTTGCATTACCACTAATTTTTAAAATGTATTATTTAGTTGAAGGCTGAAATCAGAACCAATTTTGATTTGCTATATAAAATGATGTCAAGACATGAAGAATTCCGATGGATGGTGCTGCGAATAAAAAGGATGGCTGAAACTTGGATAGAAGCAATAAAATCACTTGCTGAAAAGCAAAACTTGGAAAAGAGAAAACGAAAAAAAGTGAGTTCACTACATAAAATACATATTTTACATTGTTTAAACTTGGAAAGCACATTGCAACTCTATATACCTAAAAGGGAAAGGCCTCCTTTGAGTGGCAGTCCAGTTCTGTTAATGAGATGGACAGGTTTACTTTTCTTGGCAATAACTCAGTGCCACAGCCCCATGGTCCATCTAGATACTGCTAAAATTCTCGTGTCTGTTTAGATACTTTGAAGCCTTGAATTAGGCAAAATGCTGCATCGTAGGGCATAACTGCAGATACCGTAGGTGGACTAACTTGCAAAAAATTGGGATCCATTATACCCAAGGGACTGAAATTTGAGAAAGTAGCTGCTTCCTCAGTGGCACATCATACCACAGTCATGTGAACCTCATAGTCAGCATTTCCTGATACCTTTAAGATGGACACTCACACAATCCTTTGCTCTCTTTCCCAGCAGCTGTTTACCTGCTTGCTGAGCAAAGAAGGAAAGGAACCACAACACACCCTTCTCAGCCTACTCTGTGCCCTCTTTGACCCCGGCCACCTCCCATACAATTTTTCTGTCCCAAGCTGCACCTCTGATGCTCTCTGCTCCCACACATCCTTCCTAACCCGTGCTTCCTCCTCTGGAGGAAGACTGGAAGGCTTGAGGACCCAACTTATGTCACCCCTCAGGAGCCTTCCCTGATCTATTTGGCCCTTCTCAGACTCCCATACATAACCAGACAAACTCTTTCCAATCCATGCTTCATCCTATGCACTCTCCCATGTGACATCTGTCGTGCAATCTAATGCACCCAAACCATGCTGCTCCCTGCAGACCCTCTTCAACCCATATGGCACTCCTTGTGCATCTGACCTCTGCAGCATCCCCACGTGTCCACCTCAACCAATGTGGCCCCTCTCATATACCTTTTCCTGACTGATACCACACACCTTTTCTGCTCCATGCCAGAGGGAGGGGGGAGGGAAGGAAGGAAGGATTGGTTCTGATGTTCCCTGCCAGTTTTCCACAGGCAAACTCAATGGGGAAGCTGGCAGGAAATTGGAAGTTCCTCCCATTCTCACTGCTTTTTTGTGCCCACATGCGGCCATTCTGTTCCATTGTTTAGGTGAGGAAATACCTCTGAGATGAAGACCCAGCGAGTCATGGGTTTGCTTGTTAATTATACCTTTGCATTTTCCTGGTGATTTCATCTGTATGTGTCCACATGTGTTGATTATTGCAATTTTCTCAACATGGAACTAACTTTGAAAACCACCCACAAACTGTAGCTGGTACCGAATGTAGCAGTTTGTAAACTGACAATGTTGAAATGCTCACTTGTAAAGCCTGAACTGCAGGAACTGAATCTGTTACCAATTTATTTCTGGGTGCAATTAAAGCTGCTGGTCATAGCTTACTTAAGTTTTACAGGCCATGGGATGCAAGCGTCCATGAGATCACTAGCTTCAATTAAAATATGCCTGCCCAGTTTGGAGCAGTAGAAAATAAACTGCTTTGAGGAGCAGAAAGAACTGGTTTGGAGAAAGTATATTTGTGGCTAAGGTTTCCTTCTGTGGAACTGGATATCCTTAGAAATATGAAGAATAAATAAGAAGCATCTTTATTATTAATACTGCCAAAAATGTTATTTAAATGGGGATACAAGGATTGAATGGGTATGAAAAACTAAAATATGAATACTGCTATTTTTGTGGTTTTATGACAGCTAAAATATGCAGATCATTGGACTATTGTTTAAATTATATTATAATATTTACATTTTTATAGTTCTATTACTTTAGAGTTCCAATTTAGTGTAGTAGTTAAGGCATCAGGCTAGAAACTAGAAGACTTGAGTTCTAGTCCTGCCTTGAGCACGAAGCTAGCTAGTAACTTTGGGCCAGTCGCTTTCTTTTGGATCAAGACAGGAGGCAATAGCAAACCACTTCTTTAAAAAAAACTTGCCAAGAAAATTGAAGGGACTTGTCCGGCAATCTCCAAGGACCAAACATGATTGAATGAAAGACAACAAAAAGTTCTTTGTTTTGTTTTACTTGTAAGACAATTATATTTACTTGATTGACATGCATGTAATAATGAATGAGTAAATGTATGTGTTCATTCATAAATATAGAACTATAGTTTTCAATGTTTTCAACCAACATAACTGTAGAACAACATTTGGGAAAATTAGATCCTGTGACGATCTGTATGTCATCACACGGTGATGTTTAAGATGAGTTATTAAAGTAAGGAAATTCGTACTATAAATTTTCAACAGTGGGTGCCCAAATGGTTCCTCATTGTCTTTTCTTTTTGCAGGTCCTTGTTCATCTGGGGCTCCTCACAAAAGAATCTGGATTCAAGATTGCAGAAAATGCCTTCAGTGGTGGCCCACTTGGCGAGCTAGTCCAGTGGAGTGATTTAATCATATCGCTCTATTTACTGGGCCACGACATTAAGATTTCGGCTTCCCTGGCAGAACTCAAGGAGTAAGGAGGTTATAATCCACTTTTAAAGTGAAGCAGCAAAGCCATTCTTCTCAAAGTATTCATTGTACAGCCTATAATTTTCAGGAGAGAGACGTGAAAGTGATAAGTTCCCTAAACAGTGATAAAAATTATTTTCATAAGCTAAATATATACATTGTGAAATAGACAGTATATTTTGTAGTAGTACTTCCTCCTGAGTTTTGAGTAAATGAATACTCTAGTATTCAGTCATTCAGATTACGCAGTTTTATTCCCAATCGTTACAGGTGTGTTAGACATCTGCAGAAAAACTAAATGGGCTTAATTGGTTGCCTTTCTTTCTTTAATGAATCTTTATTTCTTAATAAGAAACTTGTTATGGATAATTTGACTGTAATTCGTTTGAAAATATCTCTTTTACTATGATTTTGATCTATTTTGACAACCATATTGCATATGAGCCATAATTTCTAAATTTACTGATTTAGAATATTGCACTGGAAAGGCCTTGAGAAGTGCAGATTTTGTTGCTTTGCCCTGTTCACAGCAGAGGCTATTTAATAGAAAAACTTCATTATGTCACATCAGTGACTATTCTTGTAGGTAAAAGGGGAAGGAGAAGCCACAGTTAGATAGTGTCATTTACACAATGAACATGAACTGAGGCAAACTCTGGGAGACAGTGGAGGATGGGAATCTGGCATTCTGTGGTCCATGGGGTCGGAAAGAATCAAACACGACTTAACTGAATAGCAACAAATCAGTGACTATTACTGATAAGGCCACAGAACTGTTGAGCTATTCATACTCTATTAGAACAAACCCAAAAGTCATTATATGTTGCTTTCCTATAAAACAAATAAGACTGTAGCTGTCATTAAAATCTGTCCTGACTTTGATTATATAGAAAGCAGTGAAAGCAAGTATCTATACAGTTGACTTGAAAAATTACCTGTTGTAAAAAAAAAAAAAAAACCACCTGTTGTAATTATTCTTGTATAACAAGAAATTTGGTCTAGTGGTTAAAGCGGTAGGCTAGAATTCAGGAAATTATGAGTTTTACTCCTGCTTCAGGCATGGAAGCTGGCTCAATGACTTTGGACTGGTCACTTTCTCTCAACTCCACTCATCTCACATGGTTGTGGGGAAAATAGGAGTCCTGTATATTGTGTGTGTTTGCCTCCTTGAGTTCTTTACAAAAGTAATAAAGCCAGGAGATTGGATGGGAAGCAAGAAAATATGAACAATAGGAGTACTGTGTATTGTGTATATTTGCCACCTTGAGTTATTTACGAAAGTAATAAAGCCAGGATATATTTATGAGTTGTATCAGCAGAATGTTTTGCTTAAGTATTAATAAGGCTATCAAATGTTATTACTTTCTTGTACCTTTTTGAATGAAAGTCTTATTTTTAATAATAATTATTAACATTTTTAGAACAGCTCATTTTCTGGGTTAGACTACTTCAGGAAAATGACTGAAACTTCTTAACTTCAGATGTAGTGTTCCTTTTCAAGAACCTTGCCTTTACTTCACTATTTTGTTAATTATTCTGTCTGTAAAAAGAATTTTCCTTAAAATGTGTTTACCTCTTCTTCTTTTTGGCTAGGATTATGAAGAAGGTAGTTGGTAACAGATCTGGCTGTCCTACACAGGGGGATAAAGTGGTGGAGCTTATTTATATCGACATTGTGGGACTCACTCAGTTTAAGAAAACGCTTGGGCCATCCTGGGTTCACTATCAGTAAGTATTTGTCCTTTACAGAAAAATTCTCTTTACAGGTAGCGCTGAACCTACAACCATTCATTTAATGATCAAAGTTACAACGGCACTGAAAAAAATTGACTTATGAGCGTTTTTCACACTTACAACCATTGCAGGACCCCATGGTCACATTATAAAATTCAGGAGCTTGGCAACTGGTATTTATGATGGTTGCAGTGTCTCGGGGTCATGTGATCACCTTTTGCAACATTCTGACAAGCAAAGTCAATGGGGCAGCCAGACCCACTTAACAATTGTGTTACTAAGTTAACAACTGCAGTGATTCACATAAAAACTGTGGCAAGAAAGGTCATAAAATTGGGCAAGGTTCACAGCTGCCTCGCTTAGCAACAGAAATTTTGAGCTCAGTTGCTCTTGTAAGTCGAGGACTACCTACCTGTACTAACTGTAACTTTTTATTTATTTCCATACTAATCTCTTGATCCTGACATTTTCATTTTCCACTCTATTTACAAGCAGCTTTCACACAGAACATTTTGAGACAGAACAGACAAAGAAAGCCTATATTACATACCTGGCTTAGCCCTTGATGTATATTTGCTGAGCTTAGATGAAGGAATCTTTATGGATGAGCAGCTGTTTGCACACAGAGGCGTCCCTGTGATTTGAACATTCAGATGCACAGATGGCTTTATTCTGTGAAATTGTAAGCTGCTTCCTTTAAAAAATACTCAGGTGGAACCTAGGTCTACTGCTTAAAATATTTTTATGAAAAGCAGTTGACAGGGGTTTTTAAAGCATAGTACCTGTGTTGGTTTATCTGATTTCTCATTTATCTTAACATGTATCTTAAGTCTTCTTTAACTAAGCACTAATTGGGTATGTTGAAGCCACAAATTCTAAAATTCTCAGCCAGTATATTTGCTGCTTTTGTTAGCTGAAAATTTTGTAAATTGGAGTTATATCTCACTGAAGGCCAGGGGGTTGGAGAACTCTACAAGTTCTCCAAGATTGTTCAGATATGGAATATAAAGTCCATGCATTCTTTTATCATATAAAGTCCATGCATTCTTTTATCATACCTTCTATGGTCTATTTGTATTCCAAATAACCATTAAAAGAGGAAAAACAACAAAATGCTTAAACCGTGTTTAAAACTAGAAATGGTGGATCTTTTTTTAACATACGCAAATCTAGGAGCAGTTATAAAATACTTCCTATATTATCTTTTGGATTTATGACCATTTTCCACACCTATGACTGTTGCAGCATCCCCAATGGTCACATGATCAAAATTCGGGTGCTTGGCTACCTGGCATGCATTTATGACAGTTGCAGTGTCCCAGGGATACGTGATCACCTTTTGCAATCTTCTGACAAGCACAGCCAATGGGGAAGCCAGATTCACTTAACAACCGTGTTACTAACTTAAGAACTGCAGTGATTCACTTAACAACTGTGGCAAGAAAAGTCATAAAAGGGAGCAAAACTCACCTAACAACTGTCTTACTTAGCAGTGAGTATTTTGGGTTCAATTGTGGTCATAAGTCACGGACAACCTGCACTTGTTTTCCTCTCTTTTTGGACCATCCATTCCTTCTGAGGAAAAAATATCTTCCAACTACTGTACTCTCCTGGTGGCTGCAGAGCTCCAAAATATCTCTCTTCTCCAGATGAGCTGTGAAGAGCATCCATTGTTTGGAATGATGCTTCTGTTGCTCTTTTGATAGGTTGGGCTTTAATTGAGAGGACGCTCCTCCTCCTCCACGGGACTCCTCCCTAGCGTCCCCAGTTTTTGCTCAGCCTTCGTGGATATATGCAGCTTAATTTCCTTTCCCTTGGCCGGAATAGCAAAGGCTTCAAAAGGAGACAACAACTAAACAACTCCTTTAAGGCTTTTAGTTTCAATGAGTCAAGCAACTCCCTACGGAATATAACTTGAGCCAAGGGAGCTCACTGTAGCTTCAGATAATGATCTCTCGCCCCCAGGACGATCGGAGGTGATAATGCCTCAGCCGCATGGCTAAAAATTCACATTTCTTAGCCCGTACCATTACAGTCTTTTCAAGCCGAGCCGCTATGATCGCCGCTGCCCGCGCCCGAAGGGAGAGGCTCCATTTTAAAAGGGTCCGAGGCTTTTTTCTCTCCCCTGGGAACACCGTCTGGGGTGGGGGCATCAGCACCCATCTGCCCCACCGTGCCTTTTTATTCAAGGGGAAACTCTGTAGTATCGACTCCCCACAAGGCGTGGAAGTGCTGCTGAGCCGATTTACCTCGTTACGCACCTAAAGAGATAACGGCTGGCGCCATTGCAGACTCACTAACCATGTGGTAGTGATCTGCATTTTATTTCTGGAACTGTGAGAGGCTTTTCTTTCCCCAAGCAGGGGTCTCCTTCCTGGAACCTGAGGGAAATCACCCTAATACATATGTGTGTGTATCTATAGGCGTATATATATGTATATATGTGTACATATATGTATGTGTGTGTGTGTATATGTGTATGTATATAGATATTCAGATATAATTATTCTATTTTGGACCCTTATTCATTAAGGAGGAAACTGTTGGCTTATGCCCTCACAGAATTAAACAGCAGCACCCCAGCGAGCACCAAGGCCCATGTCCCCCTGTGCAGGAAGCTGTCACAGGCTTACATCTTATTTCAACAATTCCTCCTTTCTAGGCCTATGAGGTGTTCCAAATTTGGCTAATTCGAAAATAATAATATTAATAACAAAATAATAATAACAACAATAATAATAGGAACAAGAATAAGAATTCAATATTCTTACATAAGATTATACAAAACTGGGGAACATTGTTTTAGGGTTCCCTGGCCATTGCTGGTTCAGGCCCCTGGGCGTGCCAACCGCCCAACATTTCAGCCTCATTAACAGTAAAATTTAATAAGCGGTCACAATGGCAAGCGGCAGTAGCTCAAGAACCATGTCAAATTCTGAAAACAAATTGAAGCGTTCTAAGTGTACCTGCCAAACAGCAGAAAAAGACGCTAACATGACCCATAAGGTACTAGAAAAACACATGAAGAAGTTCATGTGGGAGGATGAAGAAAATTCTCAATTCTCCAGGCCTACTTCGGCTCCAATCCCCCTCTGGATCTGTCTGTGTAATCCAGACACAGCGCAGCTGTACAAGATCAGGTAGCCCATCTAGACCAGTACAAGTGACTCAAAGTGACTCTGTGGCCACATTGCTTGAACAAGCGGCCAGATTCTGTCAAGATGATGACTTACCGGAAAAGATCCCCACAAAGATGAGACTGTGGATGGAATTAGCAATACACCAATGTATCTCTGTGGGGGTGCAGCATACTGCTCTGAACAACAGAGTGCTCCTACTGACTGGAATTCCCTATAACTCCGGTCACTAAGCAGGACAGAGCATTTAGTTACTATGCAGAATGGACCTTCATTACCAGCAGGTACCTCCTTCAGGGGAGTATTATATAATCCTGTTACACATTCACAGGATGCACAGGATGAGGGAGAACTAGAGACCAGATGGAACAGGTTGAGGAAGGGTCTACTCACGATAGTGACCAAAATGTCAGAGGCGGATCCCCTAAATAAGGGGGGCATGTCAGACATTGAAGGCATTAAGCCAGACCACTGACCTTCAGGTCTGTTTTGCCCTCAGACTTTTTTCAAGTCTCTGTTGTTTCAAAAAAAAAAAAAAAACCTACTGCCTGCCGTGATATTCCATTTCCCCTTGGCCCAACAATCGTTACTGTAAGGGGGGCTCAGACGATTTAATCTTCTCCCAACCAATAATGTAAGAGGAAGTCATAACTGTCCCACAAAGGTTCTTGGACCTCGTCCAGAAACAAGGGGTCTCTTCAGTGGCATATAGCCCTCTTACAGGATATGATAAAAACTTTTAATTTGGTTTTCTGATTCTGCTAAATATCTCATCACCACGATAGTAGATAAAACAATAATGGCAATTATCATCCTCCTCTGCAATTCCAACGGAAGCAGAAGAGGCTCTCAAGTCAAAGGATATATACAGGGTCGAGTTGTCCCCATGTAGGGCATGTCGATCTGATGTGAGGGCCATAACAGCGGAGTCGGCCACATGCCCCCCCCCCTTTTTACTAGATCGTCTCTCAGGTTGCTCCGCCATCTGAGGGAATTTATTTCAAATTCCAATATCAGAGCACACAAGGACGCTGCAAAACTCTATTAAATTATCTGCTCAAGCCAGGGCATCTCAGGTTACTCCTCGCCTACTGCTATGGCTCAGACATTGGCAAGCAGATATCGCACAATTAATGGAAGCTTGCTTCCTCCCCGATATAGGGAGATAATTTGGTTGGTGGTGCCCCGACCTATCCCTGATAGAGACTAGAAGCAGAATATAAGTTCCTCTCTTTTCACAGAACCCAAAGTAGTCCTTCCTAGCTTTTGGAGGTTCCTTCGTTCCCTCTACCAGGAACTTTTTCTCTCCAGACTCCAGGGACCGTCTGGACACACGAATCACCAACAATCAGATAGTTTCCGATCTGGAGATAGATACTGAAGGGGAAGGCAGAGAAAAAGTATCTCTTGAGGAACATGAAATAGAGGTCTCCGAGGCACAACATAGGCCTCACAACTGTGCCCCTATTGGTGGAAGGCTCAAGCCTTTCACGGACAGATGGGATGCCTCTACCTCTGTTTCCTGGGTTAGAGATATCAGAAGATTAGGCCTGGCTATAGAATTTCTATCCTCTCCCCAGAACCTTTGCATTACTTGCCCTCTCTCGGGATCCTGTTAAAGGGAGCGTGATGGAGACAACTATTGTTCATTTATTGGAGATCCAGGCAACTGACCTGTGGCACCGGATCAGCAGGGGCAATTTTAGTTTTAAAATGACCTAATCGGTCCCTAGTTTATAGGAGGCTTAAGATGAGTATACTGAACTCCATACTTCTGAGCTTCAGAAGGGGCAACTTTCTACCCTCCATTGACTTAATAGAGGCCCATCTCTACATTCCAATTAGATCCTCACATAGCAAAAGTCTTAGTTTTTGTTATAATGCTCAACGTTTTGAATACGTTGCACTGTCCTTTGGGTTGTCATCTGCCCAAGGTTCTTACGAAGGTTCTGATGGCTCTGGCTGTCCATCTCAGGGGAACACCTGTAGATGGCAGGATTATTTAAGTGACATTTCATTATTATCTGTTCATATAAACAGGCAAAGGGGAGGCCTTAGCATCGGTCATCACTAGGAGAGACTTGCAGTACATCTCTCATCACCCACGCATATGCAAGTTTCTTGCCTGGGGCTACAATCTTACAGCCTCCTGTAGTGCATTGATATCACACGTGGGACCTCAACAAGGTCCTTACCGCACTCAAGAAAACTCTCTTTGAGCGCATGTAGACCATGCGTCTCCATCCCTAATGTACAAGGTGGTTCTCTCGGTTGCCATTACATAGGCCAGTTACATCTTGGATCTAGTAGCCTTGTCAGTTAGACAGGAGCTCTGTATTTTTCACACAGACAAAGTGGTCCTTAGTCCAGATCCATCTTTCACCCATAGATAAATTTTGGGTTTCCACAGACCATAGGAACTGATACTACCGCACATTTGTCTGAAACCGACATAAAATCTGGCACGACAATGCCACAATCTAGATGTAAGGCGAGCTTTCTACATATATTTCAACTGCACAATGTGTATTAGGAAACTAAGGATCTCTTTGTTTCTTTTCAACCACCCACCATTGGGTGCAAGACCCCTTCCTCAATGACCAGTAAGTGGCTGAGAGCACAATTCCCAAGTCCTATGAGACACAATCTCTTCCTGTATCCAGGGGCATCACTGCTTATTCAACCTGGAGCACTGCGATGTTAACAACATGAGCCAAAAGCGCCAATAGAAAATTTACAAGGCGACAACATGGGCCTCACCGTCGCCTTTTATTTAGAAACGATTAGAATGATGTCTTTGCCTCTACGGAGGCTGCCTTTGACAGGAGAGTGTTACAAAGGGTCCATAGGGACCAAGAAAAAGGGGAATCCGAACCAGACGGAAGCCCTCCCGTAGGACACGCCAAGCTTTGGTATGTCCCAAACAATGGATGCTCTGAACAGCTCATCTGGAGAAGGGGCGTTGGTACTTACCTGACACGCCCTTTCTCTGTGAGCTGTGAAGAGCATCCATCCCCACCCTTATTCATCTGGTGGGATGCTATTCCGGCCAAGTATTAGAAAGGGTGAAGGAGAAATATTTCATCACTTCGACTTCCCCAAAACTGGGGAGGCTAGAGAGGAGTCCCGTAGAAGAGGAGGAGCATCCTCTCAATTAAAGCCCAGCCTATCAGACGAGTGACAGAAGCATCATCCCAAACAATGGGTGCTCTTCACAGCTCACAGAGAAAGGGCGTGTCAGGTAAGTACCAACGCTCCTTCTCACACCTGTGTCAAGATTACAGCTTTATTGGCAACTGTGCCAGGTTGACATTGGGGAAAAGGAACAAATGGAAAAGGGGATTAAGGGAACACAGGTGCCTGCAATTTATTCAAGCACCTTGCTGTTCCGCATAGTTCTTTTCCTCATTGTGCCAATACAAATTACATAGTGTTTCATTTTTATAAGATACAAATTACATTGTGTTTCATTTTTATAAGATGCAAATTACATTGTGTTTCATTTTTATAAGATACAATTTCTAATATAATCTGTTGTGATTGTGTTTTGTTTTTCCTTCTAGGTGTATGTTACGGGTGCTAGATTCCTTTGGGACTGAACCAGAGTTTAATCATGCTCACTACGCCCAGTCTAAAGGCCACAAAACTCCATGGGGGAAGTGGAACCTTAATCCACAGCAGTTTTATACAATGTTTCGTAAGTTAGTCTTGTCAATAAAATAACTCAATGTCACTCACAATTGGTGCTTGTCTTAGGAGGATTTTTCATGCCATCTTCAAAATTAAGCCAATAATTAAAGTATTAACAATAGCAATACCACTTAGGTTTATATATTGCTCCATAGTGCTTTACATTTGTGACTGGTTTATAATGCCAGAATTATTTGCATATTGCCCCAATAATCTGGGTCCCCATGTTACTGACTTCGGAAAGATGGATCAGGATCAAACTCCTGGAAGTGGGCAGAGTTAGCCTGCAATACTGCACTTTAACCACTGCGCCACTAGGGCTCCTTTGCCTCTAGTTGGAATTTTGCCCCAGCTAGTAATTTCTTGCTTAAAATAATTATTACATTGTTGAAGTTGGGGAAATAATGCACTTAATGCATTGAATGGGATAAGGAAGATTATTTTTATTATTATTTCAAATACGCACTTGGGAAAGATGTCTTAAGATTCTTGAATAATATGATAAAGACACCAGCAGGTCTATGAAATGTCTCTTTCGAGGGATGGGAAATAGATTTAACTTCACAATGCTTCCATCCAATAAGATCCTTTATCACACTTGCCAAATTGTTTTGCCATATTGCTAATTGTTGTGAGTTCATCTAGAAAGCATTTTAGGATTTGCACCCTTCCCAAGCTCTCATGGCTTACTTTAATGTGGAGATGATAACTCATACAAACTCCAGTGGCAAATATAATTTCAGCCTTCCACTATGAAAATCGTATGTAATGGGACAATCCCAGGTATTGTAAAAATGGAAAAATATGTTTTTAAAATCAATGGGGTCTCCCATAATAATTAATTCAGCCTAAAGAGTTTGTTTCTAAAATATTTGCAGAAATAAAAGGCAAGTTTGATTTGGCTCAATGCGTTTCTTAACAGAGTATTCAACTCATGCATTGATGCTTGATTCAGATGTTCTTCCAGAGGAATTATGGCTCCAGTAAATACGGCAATTTGTTAAGGGATTTGGACAAGTTTGTTGTGCAACTTCTAGAATAAGGAGCTTGACATTTTGTCCTGGTATTCTTTTCCAAAAGAAGTTGCATTAGATAATGTTTGATTCATTTCTTATGACTTTAAAACAAATGTATTACAGGAAAGAAAAAAATCATTTATGTATAAGAGACAAATCAGATAAATAAGATGATAAATAAGATTACAATTATTTCCTGTTGAGGATGTAGTTCAACAGATGAAATCAGCTCATGTTTGAACTTGTGTCAATGCATCTTCCACACATTTACAGGCTGTAAGTTGTTCTTTTTTTTTTTTGCAAGCATTACAGTGAATGATGCACGAATACACTTTTGTTGTTTAATCTGCAGCTCACACTCCAGATAACAGTTTCCTTGGATTTGTTGTGGAACAGTATCTGAATTCCAGTGATATCAAACACTTCAATGTCATTAAAAGGCAGGATCAGTCACTTGTTTATGGGAAAGTTGATAACTTCTGGAAGGTGAGTTGCCAGATTAAGTAAATTTGTTGAGCTAACACAAAGTTGAAGACTTTTAATTTGATGATACTTTTTAAGACTTCTATGTCCAAACTGGCTCTCACATCTAGAATCATTTTTATATTTATTTACTTATCATCCAAAACCAAGACACATAATTTAAAACTACAGCACACTATTACATTTAAGGAAAACACATTAGATAGCTTAGTCATCTTAGTATTCTGTAGAATATATCTGTTGAGTTGCTAGAATTAATAAAGTACAAAATCATCTGTAATATATGTTGATATATTACAGTAAGTACTATTTATTTTATTGCTCTAATGTTTTAAAATTATTAGTTTTTCTTTCCCCAAATCAATCTACCATATTTCTGTAACAAAGATAAAATCATGATTTTGTTAAAAGTATTCAAAATAGTCGTTCCTAACCATTTCTCCAGATTCACTGTATTTCAGTTTCTATAATTCCCTTCCAATTCTGAAAGTGTGGAAAATTTCATATTCTGTATCTGATGTTAAAAAAACCTTTCTTCTGTTAAATCAATTCTGTTGTTTTAAATTTTCTAAAGTGATGAAAGGCAGGAGGGAGATATGTACATAATATTCTATTATAGCAGATCCTAAGAATGTTTTCACAAGATTTCATCAGCTGATACTTGTGGAAAAATGGTATGCACACGTGTTTCTTGGGAAATATTTTTTCCAGAAGGTATAGTATTGCTCTAGAAAGAAATAAGCAGATTTGAAAAGTAATGCCAGAAATGGATTTAGGCTTGAGCTTATGCCCTTATGAGATTTTGAAAAGTATGTTATTAAGAGCTATAATTTTTTTTCTACTCATCTGGCTGCATTAAATGTTAGGAAAATGTTAGGAAAAATATTTTAATCCACATTCTGCCATTTCTAAAGTTTATATAATCTTCAACCAACCATTAGACATGTATGTCCTACTCTAAGAATTATTCTCTGTAAGAATAATTATAGAACAGTTAAGGACATACAATTACAGTATTGGCCAATTCCAGGTCAAATCACAATGCTGGCAGAGTATTAACTTCCTTATAGGCAAAAGGTGAATAGAACTTTGGAATGGTATCCTTACTTTTAAAATGGATTATGAATAGTTTAAAATTCTGGTCCCCCTTTCTCCTCCAAAAATTTCTAACTTACCTTTTAAACCTCTTTCCTCTGGGGAAAACACAGAATGATATGATTGGTTTGTTGGGTTTTTTTTAGAATTGGCTTCCAGGTAAATGATATAAATAACACAGCATGCTTACAAGATAAAAAATACAAGGAAAAGTTTCATCCATCCCTTTGTCAATCCATTCTGATTTTATAACTTACTGATACCGAATTTCCAATTATCGTCTTTCCAAATTCTCAGGATTATATTTTTCTGTTAAAATTGCCTTCAAAGAGAGAATTAAAAATCCCTTTCAGTCTTAGGTCAACCAAAAGAAGTTTTATACAGAAGCATTTTTAAGTGTAGAGGAAATAAAAAGCATGAAATAATAAAAATTGCATACATGATGATAAAAAAGGTTTTTTTTGTAAATGGAAGTTTATTATAGTTCTCAAGAAAATTGACAAACTACATCTAGTCACTGCTGTTCTATGTGTTTAGTGTTGGAGACCTATTTTTTTAAATCTCATGCACCTAAGCAGTATGGGTATTTCATTTGGTTTTGGGAATGTGGGTAATCCTTGACTTACAACAGTTCATTTAGTGACCATTCAAAATTACAATGGCACTGAAAAAAGTGACTTATGACCATTTTTCACACTTATAACCTTTGTAGTATCCCACGATCATGTGATCAAAATTGAGATGCTTGGCAACTGGTTCATATTTATGACCATTGCCGTGTCCCATAGTCATGTGATCAGTTTTTGCGACCTTCTGCAAAGGCAGTGGGGTAGTTCGATTAACTTCACAACCGGATTAGTAATTTATCAACTGCAGTGATTCACTTAACAACTGTGGCAAGAGGTTATAAAAAATGGCAAAACTCACTTAACAAATGTCTCACTTAACAACAGAAATTTGGGGTTTAATTGTAATTGTAAGTCAAGAACTACCTGTATACTAGATCATTCTCTGTTTCTACCCAACGTGTCTAAAGAGTTTCTTGTGATCCTTTTTTTTTTTTAAACTTTCAGTAGTGAAAAAAGACCCCAGTTCCTTAATGTTCCCTTAATCCTTGGTTTATTATTCGATTCTTCTCTGAACAAACTTAAAACTCAGTTTTTGGTTCATTAAATCATAGTGTTGCTCATTTAACATTAATGGACTTCAAATATGACGCCATTCAGAAATAAGCAATCTAATGTGGTTTATGACATCAATTTACAAATAAGTAATATATTTTCACCTCTTTTTCTTACTCTATTTACAAATTTGGTATCTTAGCTTAGTCATATTTTTCTGCAAATTACATCAGAATGAAAAAATTGTAATTTATGGGAATGGAATAGAAAATGAGGCAGACTACAGATGCATGATCAAGTTTGGACTGAGAGTGAATTATCAAATCAAGAACATTATGTTATAATCAGTCCAACTAATTATTCCTTTGTCTGTGTTCTATTGCTTCATTAGGTCAGTAGGTATTTTTGGATATGTTGTGAGGACATGCTGAGAATGCTATAATTATGATGTTCAGCTTCTGCTGCATTCATACATAATGAGCTCTAAAATTGCTTTATGGTTTAGAAATAAAATTATCTGTTTGCAGTTTCCTCCTGAACACTTTCAGAGTTCACAATTTCAGAGCAGTGTACAGAAATATATTCTGTAAGTGTGAAATTGTCTCCTGCAGTATCCTCACATTAAACCTGGACACCATATAATATTGAATCTACAAAGTATCCTTGACTCTTGACGAATGTATCTTTTCTTTTATGTATACTGAGAGCATTTGCACCAAGACAAATTCCTTGTGTGTCCAATCACACTTGGCCAATAAAGAATTCTATTCTATTCTAGTATCAATTAATCAGAATTTTGCAACTCAGTTCAAAGTATGCCTACGAACTTCCTTATGTAAAAAAATTACCCCAAAAGGAGATTAAAGTGTACTGTTGTATAAATGATCATGATTTGTCTATTAAGTACATTGATTTTTAAAGAGGGTCCTGCAAAAACAAATCTGGAAAGTGCAGACAAAATTGTATTGTTGTTCTAGTGAAGAGCTGCTTTTGATACTTGCCAGTATATAATCCGAACACATTTATTGATTTCTTTTATAAATAATAGGACATAGTTCTAACTGATAAGATTGGAAATTATATTATTTTACTGTTGCTGCCAAGTCAATATAATTTATTGCTAAGGATCATTTATACTTATATTTGTTTTATTTTTGAGGCATTTAAACATAAATTATGGGCACTTGCCATTGTACTCCAAAAGATTCAGGCAGTGTCAATGGTGCAATTATACAATAATAAAAGAATAGGGATTTCTTAATTCTAATAAAATTCAGTCATTTTCTCTGAATGTAAAAAAAAAAAACATTGACATAATTCCTTTAAGGATCTTAAGTTTTAACAAAAGCTTTAATCATCTCAAAATACAGATGTAAGACAAAATGTATTTTAATTTTTAAAAAGTGAATGATAACTTTCAGGGATGTTATGATGAAACTAAAATGGTTTATTTTGTTCTGTTAGCAATCCTATCATTAACATTCTTTGGAAGAACAATCAGGGGGATCACTCTTGAGAATATACATGGTACATAATGAATCAACTTTGTGATTCTTTAAATTCTAATGTTTAGCAATGAACCTTCCAAAATTTGTTCAGTGTTTATTTAGCTAGTCTGCATGGGCAAGAGAATTTGTTCTATTTTTCTTTATGTTACAAGAAGACTTGCCTTCTAGATAGAATACAAGAAAGATCAATGTTCTTCCTAGACTTCAAAAGCCATCTGAAATGTTTAAATTTTCTCCATAGTGCTTGGCTAAGTGGTTAAATAAAGCTTGGCTGTAAATTTGCTGAACAGAAATATCCCTGTTTTGGAATTATATTAGGCAGTTACACGAAATTAACACCATACGTTTATTTAACTCTGCATATTTTGAAAAAGCAGTTCTTCTCTGGTTCCTTCTGACTTCAGGTAGTCCTTGACTTATGACCACGATTGAGCCCAAAATTTAAATTGCTAAACAAGATAGTTATGAAGTGAGTTTTGCAACCTTTCTTGCCACAGTTGTTAAGTGAATCTGGCTAACCCATTGATTTTGCTTGTAAGAATGTCACAAAAGGTGATCACATGACTCCAGGACACTGCAGATTTCATAAATACATACCAGTTGCCAGGTGCCCGAATGTTGATCATGTGAGGATGCTGCAATGGTCATAAGTGTGAAAATTTGCCATAAGTCACTTCTTTCAGTGCCGTTGTAACTTTGAACGGTCACTAAATGAATGGTTGTAAGTCAAGGAGTACCTATAATAGGTAAATCACTGCTGACTTAACAAACAATTGCACACAGATGCTCTGTTGATTCCTCTACCTAATTTGTGTGGGGGGTGGGTTTCTTTCTTTCTAGGATAAAAAGTCTTACTTGGATGTCATTCATGCCTATACAGAAGTTCATGGGACTGTCCATGGCACAAGTGCTGTCCATATGCCCAGCTATGTTAAAAACCATGGGATTCTCAGTGGCCGAGATTTACAATTCTTGTTGAGGGGAACAAAAGTAAGTTCGCTGGCTTTTTCAAAAGTCGAAATGGGTATGATCCAACTTTACTTTAAATTATTTTAATTTTCATTATTTGGAATTCTGCGCTCCACGGCTCTATCATCATATGTTCAGTTCCAAAAAAAGTCCTTTGGAATATACAGAAGGGTGAACATAGTAGCTTTCTACAACTATACTGTGTGAATGATGGGGGGAGCGGGTGAGGAGGAAATGTGGTTGCTTTAAATGTGGTTGCTGCAGATAGAGGTTAATTTATGGGCCTTTATGTCTTGAAGCACTTGAGGGGGAATCAAATCCAAAATATCGCACAGTCCTATTCCATAATAACCCCATTGCTACTTACATTGATCACCTGCTGCCAGCAGTTTGGCAGTTTGGGTCTCACAAAATGCGGATGCTCATAAGTGCTATTGCTATTGCATTTCGTTTTTTTCATTCTGTGAGGTAATGTAGTATACTTAATACATACTCAAGGCTGCAGTTCAGTTCCACTGTGTTTTTTCAGTCAGGTGCTTTCAAAATTAATTCCGTGCTTACGGAAGTTTCTTCCTCAAATGTTGATGTTACATTGTTAGGAGAAATTGGTATTTTTAATAGCAATAGCATTTAGACTTCTATATCTCTTCACAGTACTTTACAGTCCTCTCTGAGCGATTTACAGAGTCAGCATATTGCCCCCAACAATCTAGGTCGTCATTTTACCAACCTCGAAAGGATGGAAGGCTGAGTCAACCTTGAGCCAGTCAGGATCAAACTCCCGAGCTGCTGGAAGCCAGCAGTCAGCAGAAGTAGCCTGCAGTGCTGCATTTTAACCACTGGGCCACCATGGCTCCAATTCCACCTTTCTTTTAAGTGTGCTCTCAAAATGCCTTGTTTTGAAGATCCAAACAGCCTCTAGGCACCTGGACCACACTTAATTGGCATCACTGGTTAGAGTTGGAATTGAAGTTGAGTATTATCAACTAACAGATGACACCCTGGCCATGTTGGCAAATGACCACAGACAGGCAAGATACCAGACTCAATCAATCAAACATTTATTGTCAATGCACAACGTGTACAATGAAATTGAAAATAAATTGAATATAAATGGACAGCAAGCAGCACTCCTTACTAGCAATTATGATGTTACCTAGTTAGGGTAATGAAACATCTGCAAGAAAACAAGCAAGCTCAGAAAGCACCAAGGACCTGTCACCTACTTCATGTAGATGTTGAATAGAAGGAAGGAGAACACTGTGCCTTGTGACACCCCACAACTGAGGATCCTAGGGGGCCCAGTCTTTCTCTACCATTAATGACTGGAAGGACCCCATTTAAAAGGAGAAGATAGTGCAGAACACTATCCCTCACTCTCAACTTTCAGGGGCACAAGGATACCATACAGATATTCCTCGACTTACAATAGTTCACTTAGTGACTGTTCAAAGTTACAGCGGCGCTGAAAAAAGTGACCTAAGACTGTTTTCCGCATTTATGACCATTGCAGCATCCCCATGGTCCCGTGATCAAAATTCAGACACTTGGCAACTGACTCATATTCACAACGGTTGCAGTGTCCCGGGGTCATGCGATCCCCTTTTGAGACCTTCTTACAAACAAAGTCAACAGGGAATCCAGATTCACTTAACAACCGTGTTACTAACTTAACTACTGCAGTGATTCACTTAACCACTGTGGCAAGAAATGTCGTAAAATGGGACAAAAACTTAACAACTTAGCAGCAGAAATTTTGGGCTTAATTGTGGTCGTAAGTCGAGGACTACCTGTAGTTGTCGGTATTAAAGCCTGATGAGAGGACAAGTAATATAGAGGGGACCATACACTCCCTACTCTCGTTTCACCAGAGATAAATCCACCACTGCAGTTGGTGCTGTATCCATACCATACCTGGGCCAGAAGCCTGAATGAAATGGGTCTAGGTAATATCTTTATTCCAGGGCCGCCTTCAGCTGCTGCCCCATTACCTTCTAATCAACCTGAAGATGAAGACCAGTCAGAATTTACCCAGAGGTAATCACTTCTTGAAAAGGAAGCACACCACGGCCTTCTTTGGGGAGGACAATAGCATCCCTTCATTCATTTATCAACACCCTGACCCAGCCCCCATCCCACCTCCATCTCCAGAGGTTTTCAGTATCAGGAAGAGAGGGGTCCATCCAAAGTAGCAGAGCCAAAGCTACAGAGAACCCTGTTCACTTCCTCAGAAATCCCAGAGTAAAATTACTGCAGATAATCCGCGTGTCATGCCCCTGTCGGAATCTGAATCCAAGGAGGAAGATGAACAGCTGACAGGGAGCGGAAGTGTGGCTCCATTGGCTGTGGAGGAAACTGGAGAAGGGCAAAGTCAGGCTGGGCAGAGCAGGGAAGAGGTAGAACAAGGGAGAGGGAGTTCAGACGAAGACCCAGGCCCACCCCCTCTTCATCCTAGGGCATGCAGGGGGGAATGGAGAAGAGAGCAACGTGGCTTACAGAGGGAGGAAAGGGCCCTGATTCTCTTCACTAGGCACACCTGGGAAGAGAGTTTAAAGGAGAGGCAGCTGAGAGCTCTGTTTGCCGGAAACAAACCTGACTTTATCTTGTGTTGACTGGTTATCTGCGTTCCTGGCATCCTCCCAACTGGGCTGATTTACTGCCGTGTTATTGCACTTCTGGAACTCCTTATCTTGCCCTGCCGGATTAATTATCTCATCTTGCCTTGATTGGACTTATAGTTACAGGTTTTGTTGACAACGCTTTGGACTTGAATCTTTGCAGCCAAAGGCTGTTCCTGGGAGAATTTTTTCTCCAGACCAGAAGGTAACCAGGACCTTGGGGGCAAAGTTTGGAGCTAATAAAGGGATTCCTATTTATTATCTGGCTGTGTTGACTTCGTGCCGCACCCTGGGTCTTCACATTGCAAGACAATCACCTCGTTGGGACTTACTTGCACAGCGGATATTCAGCTGGGAATGGATCGTAGTGGTTTTGCCATCCAGATGCCTCCAAGACACCCCCAAGAAATTATATCCCCTTATCCTCCCCTACTAAGGCCTGGGTCATTTTAAAAATTAGATGCATTAAGAGGTTTTTTTTTTTTTAAAGTTTGACATTCTGCCTCTCTGATTAGAGTATAATTGACCCAAGTGCTCAAAGATGAAGCAAACACTATCAGTAAACCTTTAGAATTTTCCTTAGGAAAATAAGTTCTTCACACATGGAGGACTCTGTCCATTGTATTAAAGTTTTGCTTTTCAAACCATGGAAGATCACTTCTTCTATAGCCATCTCTCCCTGTTCATTTCCTGAAGTTCTTGAAATGTTGTGCAAAATATCCATGGTGTTCCTCAGAACACCCTATCGCTTTTCCAAGATGATGGGAGAAATGGGAGAGGGGGCCCAGACTCTTCCTGTTTTTAGAACAATTTTGCGTGACTTTCAGTATGGCCAGACACATTGGGAAACCATGAATCCCATATTTTTCAGTTTGCATTGATTGTCTTTGAAATCCTACGCTTTAAAGTTTGGAAGTGGTAAGTGGATGCCGTTTCTGAAAATCCCCAAAGAAGGAATTTAGGTCTTGGGACTAATTTGAACCCTGAGTAATTTGTAATTTAACCTAAGCTCAATCTGGATAAAATTCTACTGTGGTTTATCCCTTCACAGCACGGACATTACTAATAATGTTTTGGAGATTTTGTATTACGTAAGTTGGCATGGGTTTTATTAATTCTAAAAGATCACTCCTGCAGCATGACTAACAGGGTTTGCTTTTTTAAATGATAATGTATAAACAAAACCTTTCTATTTAAAATGAAGTTGTACATCAGTGTGGTACCTTTGGCTTGATCGGGTTTGACATAGTGAATAATAACTTCAAAAATAGGTTTTATAGCCTGTAATAGTTACTTAAAGTGACTGAGGAGCAATTGGGTTTGTATTTATTGTTAAATGGTGACAGAATCTCTTGGTCTGTCAAAAGGCAAAGCTCCCGGGTTCAGTAAAAAGGAGATTTTCCTTAATATATTGACAGTATAGAAGAGAAAACAACATCTCTGTACTGAAGTAACAAACAATGTTTATTTAACCAATGGTATTAGTGTCTGCATCTAATTAAAACCAAATCAGCACTAAATTATTGGTGATATTTTAATGCCCTTCAGCCATGTTTGAATTGCAATTAATATAAAAAAAGTCTCAGGTTCCCTAATTTTTTATTTCAATCAGACATTTCAGTCAACAATTCGGAAATGGATAATTTAGTGTATTACAGTGTTGCTTAAACCAATGTGTGTATGAGGGAGTAAAATACAGGGGGATAACAAACAATTCTGATCTACCTACCATTCTGCATTTTATTTGGCACGCATTCTTACAAAGTCAAAATGTCATTCTTGGCGTCTTAATAAAATATATCTATCGTAAGCATTGTGACGTCTTACAATCAGATAGCAGCTATATCCTGTGGTTTCATCCTGTTTTCTCACTACAAATTTTCGTAGTATATTATTGTTCAGAAAACAGTTTAAAAATGAATTAAATCCCAGTAATTATTGTTGTATTTCCTGTTTATGAATCATTTGTGTTTTCAGTTCAATTCTCTTGCAATACATTAATTTCTAAGAATAGCTTTTTAATACAACTTTCCATGAAATTGTGCCCCTGTGGAAAAATTCACATGTAAACTTTGCTGCCACCTACTGTTTGTAGTTGGAACTTTTTTGACTCCTTGAATGATATGAACATTTAACAATCCACAGCACTGGGGGCGACTTGACAAAAAAAATGGCTTAAGCAAAATTAAATTAAATTGCAAAATCTGCATTCTGTACATTTGGGATACTTTTCCAAATACATTTAAATCAAATTGCCCTATTATAATCTATTGTTTTTAATTAATTGCATACATGTGTCACACATAACTTGTGAATATTTTCCACCTATTTCCACTTTTGTACGTTTTTTTGCAAAGCTGTTACTAAATTTACAAAAATACAATTCTTGAAGATCACTGTGGTAAATTATTTGCCAAATACAAACTAAGTAAACTTGTACTAAAATACACATCACACTAATTTCTAATCTGGGCTACATAGGGTTTAGAGTTGTTAATGAAGGAATAATTCTGTCAGTCTCAGTTCTTTAATAGCAGTCCCATTTTAATGTTATTTATAAACATATTTTAAGGCTATTTTTGGATTGAGCAACTGAAGCTTCTTGGCTGAACATTTTTGTAAGAGGTTTGAATACTGTAGTAATACTGGTTTGTTACTTCTCCTGTTTGAGTTATTTTCCGAAATGATTATTGAGAAAATTAATACAACGAAACAAAGCAGAATTATTTCTCTTCCTCTTTTTGTGTAACAAAAAACAGCACTGTCCATTCTTGGAAGGTTGTTTTTCTGAAAAGATACAAGATCTTCCCCTCTTGCCATCAAGTTATTTTCTGCTTGACAACATTCTTAAACCCAGCCAAGCTTAACCTAAATCCTGGCTACCTTAAAAGCCTCTTTTTGACAGCAAAAGCAAGAAATTGCAAAAGATTTTGGAACAGAACTTGCAAAAGATGATGAAAGATTTGGGGAAAGAAATGAGTCTTAATTAGTTTTCAGATTCTCAGTACTCTTCAAAAATACAGATTTAGGTTCAGTGGTGGGCTGCAACCAGTTTAACAACTGGTTTGGTGAGTGCTTGCAGTGCTCAAAAAACACCGATTTTAACCTCAACAGCTTACCTTCTAGGGTAGGCCTGGTAAGTAGAACAATTGAGGTACAGAAATCTGTGCCGCGGGAATCAGTTGAGCTGAGAAAGACGGAAATATAGGACCGGATAGGGTGGGTGCGTATGGGTGGAGTCAGCTGATGGTCAGAACTACCAGTTTGCTAGAACCGGTCCGAACCAGCATCAGCCCACCACCGCTTGGATTCAAGTAAGTTTTCTCAACATGCAAATATAGGAAGACCTAACTCGGGAGTTTCTGTTTTACAGCTTTTCGTGGGTCTTGGCTTCCCATATGAGGGTCCCGCACCTTTGGAGGCTATTGCAAACGGATGTGCATTTTTGAACCCAAAGTTTAACCCACCAAAAAGCAGCAAAAACACAGACTTCTTCAAAGGCAAGCCAACTCTTAGAGAGGTATGTTTTTATTAGTAATTACTGTTGATTAGATATATGAACAGTGTCCTTTGAAACACATCTTCTAACCCAACCCTGTACTGAAATACAGTAGTGTGTATTGTTGTTATCAGGCCATGCTACTGACAGAGTTCAAATCCGAGATAGACAGATATAATTTACTTTGCAAATGCTCTGGTTTTTAATCAGGCTGATCCAGCAACAATTACCATAATTGGTTTCCATCCCACTGAATCTTCTTCAGTAGACAGGATGGAATTGCTGTTCAACCATTTTTTGAAAGCTAGTTTTGATCACTCATGCTTTAAAGAACCACTTAAGGCTTAATGCCCTGTCTCAGCTCCATTATTAACTTCTCCAGCTATTAAGGCTTGTAGAAGCAGCCATATTGAGAACATCTCTGCTCCCAGACAGACCTGCTTATCAGATAAAGTTGGCCTGCTTCACCATAAATGACTGAACAGACTTCCTTCAAAGCTAAGATTACCCCCCAGTCTTTTGGCTTCTTGGTGGCAAAGTTAGGAATGCCACAAAGTGTTCAGCCAGACCATGTCTGGACTGAACACATGTTTTCTTCTGGGACAGATCTAAAAAAAAAAGGCATATTGTAGGTGGAGGTTATCAGGTGAAAACAAAAAAGAAGAATAAACCCTTGGCAGTGGTGTTTTTTAAATAGTTACAGCTAAAGGAAGGGAAGTACAAGAGAAGTGCAAAGAATGTGTTGGAGGGATAGGGAGGCCCACTGCATACATACCACCCTTGAATTCAAGCGTGGTGACACCTCAGTAGATAAGGAGGCATTGAGCAGATCACAAACTCACAAGTCATGCAATGGAAGGCCAGGACGTGTCCTCCCTACCTTAGATGATTTCTCCAGCTTTAATTTCAGCTCAAAACTGGAACAATCAAGATATTCTGAATATCAGTTTGGCTGGGTCACATTCTGCCCAAAAAGAGTTCCCTGAACTTCCAAGCCAATTGCAGGGATTTGTCCAGACAGCCAACCAGGAGTTAAGACTGACTCAAAGACACTTAGAAAAAGAAGAAAAAATGTGCTTAAAACTGCTTCTCTTTCCAGGGTTTCCTAAAAGTATGACAAGTAATTTTTTTTTGATAGCCAAGATATCAAAAACAAAGCCTTCTAAATATACAACTTTGAAAGTTACTAAGCGAACATAAACTCTAAAAATATGGCATTTCTCCCCCTTTTCTTTCAGTTGACATCTCAACATCCCTATGCTGAAGTTTACATTGGGAAACCTCATGTTTGGACAGTAAATATCAATGATCTTTCTGAAGTGGAACAGGCCGTGAAAGCAATTTCCAGCCAAAAGGTTAATAAAGATAATTATTTTCTTAATCAGTGTTTTACAATGAAACAAACATGCTAGGCTGTATTGTAAGGGGTTTTTTTGTTTGTTTGTTTTTGAGGAAAAAAAGCTTTACCAAACAAAGATAAGCACTCTAGAAAACTTTTGCTTTAATATTATAAACCCAAAGAAAGGTTGGAAGATGAAGTAGCATTAAACATTTCTTATGAATAAAAAATACCTTAAGTAGCAAGTAACATAGAATTTGAATATACCCTGTTTCTCCAACAATACGGCCTCCACCAATAGGAAGTCCCAGCATGTTTTATAGGCATGAAATGAAATTAAGCCCCTCCCCCCCAAATTAAGGTCTATATTAAAACATGCGAAATGTGGGGAATGGTGGTGGGGGCTTTCCGTTAGGAAGGACTTTTGTTGCACACCTGGATATGGTGCTGCCTGCGTTGACCCCGATACAAAGTGCCCGCCGAGGTCAACATCCAAGCCGTCGCTGCCCGTACGCCCGAAGATGCAAGGGGGGGAATTAAGCCATCCCCGAAAAGACGGCCTATCCATTTTTTCGGGGCTCAAAAAAAAAAATAAGACCCGGCCTTATTATATGAGAAACATGGTAATAATTTTAAGGTAACATGAATTATAGGTAATCCTTGCTTACTGGCTATTAATTCAGTGACCATTTGAAATTAAATAACTTTTCAGATCATTTACCACCACATATGACTTTTGCAGCATCCTTCAGTCATGTGACTGCCATTATATTCAGTATGCATTATCTTGTGCCTGATCTGTGGTGTTTTTTGCTTCACCCCTTTCAGAAGAGGAACGTTGGAGAAAAGGGGATTGCAAGAGAATAATCTGATCTTCTACACAGCCCAAGGCTGAGAGCTGTGGGCTTGCTACCCAAACAGCTTATAGTACTCTCCTGAAAACTTCCTCTTTGTACTCTCTTCTCTGCAAAGGAGAAAGCGGGGGAAAGCAGGGGGTTTCTGGAGGTCATCTCTCCTTTGCCTGGCTCCTACCTCCCCCTGCAGAGTGGGGAGGTTGGAGAGATTTCAAGAGAGTTAAGGTTTTGGTTTTTGCATACACTGAAAGCAATGTAACCATGCTCACGTTGTGCTTTCAATGTATACAAGACAAGTATTCCAAAGAGAGGGGATCCCCAGTATTCCAAAGGCAAAACAGTAAGTATTCCAAAGTAAGCAAACCAAGTCAAAGATGTGAACTTGACTGGTCTTGTCTCTTTCCATTCAGAGAAGGCCCAGTCGCAGTCGTGCGACTTCCCGCTTAGCATTTTGCTTAGCGGTGGCATTACTAGTCCCAATTAAGTTGGTTAAGTGAGGGCTACCTATATATTAAAATTTGCAGAAACAAAACAGTGTCAAGTATTTTCCATTATCTGGAAGAGAAGTTGCGTTGGAAAAATATGTGAGGTGACTTTTTTTAATACTCACATTGATCATTTTAGGGTGGGAGGAAATGCTCATCGGATATCTCTAAAACATGACATTTTTATGTAACTCCATATATATCTCTAACTTCATGGGTATTTATTTAAGAGAAATAGTGCCATATTATGCACTGAAACAAGTTGCTACAGTACTAAAGATTAGGTACTTGGAATAAGGATATTAGAGAAAGCATAAAATTATAAATGAGATTTTAATAAAAATACTGGATTGCAGATATTGTTGCTATAATACAGGTAGTCCTCCACTTACAATTATTCATATAGCGACCATTTGAAGTTACAACAGGACTGAAAAAAATGACTGTAAGACCAGTTTTCACACTTACGACCATTGCAGTATGCCCATGATCATGTGATCAAAATTAAGGCACTTGGCAACTGCCATGTATTTATGTCAGTTGACTTTCCCGGAGTCATATGATCACTGTTTGTAATCTTCCCAACAAGCAAACTGGGAGAAGCCAGTTTAGCTTAAAGACTGCATGGTTCCCTTAAGAACTGCAGTGGGTTGCTTAATAACTGTGGCAAAAGGGTCGTAAAATGGGGCACAATTCACTTAGCAACTGCCTTAACAGTAGAAATTTTGGGCTCAATTGTGCTCATAAATTGAAGACTACCTGTGTTTTCTGGGTATCCTGCTCTGTTGGGAACCAGAATATTTCCAATTGGAAAAAAGTGAATTATACATGAGAATGATAGGCTTCTCAAAGCACGTGCTCTTTACATGTATCGGAATTACATCTGACATAATTCCCAGGCACTTGACTGGCAGTACTAGAAAGTGTAATCCCAAGAAATCTGGGACTTACTGAAGTAATCCAATATTACTTAAGTGAACGTTAGCTTTCACAATGGGAATGCCTTTTGTTTTCTTTCCCCTCTTCTCAAAAGATGCCAGTACAGCTAAGGTTGTAAGAAGGAATTCCTCCTGTTGGTCATGCCATCAACTCTTGGTGACCATTCAAAACTTACTAATGAATTTAACTGAGCATATGTTCAACTACTTAGCAGACTGATGCGCTTTGAACAGTGCGCTCTGTATTGCACAACTGAAATGTATTTATATTACAGATTGAACCTTACTTGCCTTTTGAATTCACGTGTGAAGGAATGCTTCAGAGAATGAATGTGTTCATTGAGAAACAGGTATGGTTTCTACATCAATAGTCATTCCCTTTGTTTGTAAGCATGCAACAATTTCACTTTTAAAAAGAAATCATAGTTCATAATTTCTTTTTAATTGAGTTATTATTCAGAACCAAATAACCATTAGCTTTTAACTGTCTTCTATGAGCAGTTGATATACCGACCCTTTCTCTTCCTTTATTTTGAATATACCTGAAGATTTAAGAGAGGATTCATGGAAATTTACTCCATGCCTGAACCTCTAATCAGATCTCTGTCTGGGGTCATAATCACCCATAGAATATGCTTTCAAAGCTACTTTCCCATTAAAAAAAATGCACATAGATTTTTGACATATTGAATTATCTGATTCAATTTCCCCTATTAAATATTGCTGAATAATTGCAGATATTGAAATCAATTACACACATGATATCCTACTTTAGATCCAACCTTGACTGTCTAGTTAAGCTGTTTTTCACTTCAGTAATATTCCTTGGCTTCGGATGTTACCGTGTGCTGATTTATAGTTAAATATTTGTACTATACCATAGACAAAATACTAACAATTTCTCTGCCCCAAACGTTAAGTAGGGTCATTATGTATACTAAAATTTCTTTTTTTTCTTTAGAATCAAATACTATGATTTCTTAGATAATACCAAGAGTCAAAACAAAGTGGACTCTGTAAAGAATACTTTGCTCAATACAGTTTCATGTAGGACAATTGGTATCACAACAGTTCTTAGTAGTTTTACTGTGCACAATTTCTGCACATGCTATTATCATTCAACCCAGAAATAGAAGGTAGATCTGCTAGCGATTCAGCTCTATCTCCATCTCTGCATTTTCCATATGTGGAAAGTATTTGCTTTTGTAAGCAGTCATTCTGCAGAATTCAGTACTACCTTGTTTAGCAACAGGTAACCAACTTGCAGCAAACAGTTTAGTATCTTGGAGGAGAAACAAAGAGAAATGAAAGACTGGTGCTACAGAAATAGCACTTGGCAATAGCACTTAGACTTATATACCGCTTCATAGTGTTTTAAAGCTGTCTCTAAGCGGTTTACAGAGTCGGCCTATTGCCCCCAACAATCTAGGCTGTCATTTTACCAACCTCAGAAGGATGGATGGGTGAATCAACCTTAAACCAGTCAGGATCGAAGGGATTGAACTCCTGGCTGTGGACATAATTTGCCTGCAATAATGCACTCTAACCACTGCATCACTATGGCTCCAATTGCATTGCCCCCATCAAATAAATAAATAGGAGTTGTAACCAGCAGAGCAGTATCCTAATTGAAAGATAAGTGCTGATGAGATCTCGGCTGCCCATTATGCAAGGCAGGTTCGATCCTAGAAGGAAGAAGGATTGGGACAAAATTTTCTGGCAATTGGAAAAAACAAACAAACAGAGGATGACATTTAGCAGGCTTTGATATTCCCAAGTAATCCTTTGAAACTGGAATAAATGAGCCTGCTTCTTTTCTACATGAATATATTTGGGCAATTAGAGTAATAGTGAAGGTTGTGCACAGTGTTGCAGATATCTGCTATATTGTCATTGTTGCATGATTCAGAGTAGCAATATTTAATTAATATTTGCAGTGACTGATAAATATATTAGGCAAAACCAGGGGTTTGCAACCTGCGGCTCTGGAGCCACATGCGGCTCTTTCGGCCCTCTGCTGCGGCTCCCTATCAGCTGTTCCCACCATTGGCTGGCCCCTTCCCTCCCCATCACTCCTGGCCTGGCCTGAGAAGGTAAGGGTGATGGCAGGGGATGGAGACTCGCTCCGTATTCCAAAGCAGGAGGTGACTGGGTGGGAATGAGTGACGCCGAGTAGGCTACACCTACCCAGTCACACCGGTTGTTAAATTATTGACTCCCAATGCTTCCTTTTCTGTGGGAAATGGGTCCAAACGGCTCTTTGAGTGTTTAAGGTTGCAGACCCTTGGGCAAGACCAATTAAGCATTCATTGTGGATTGTCGGTTAGGTAATGTTTGCCTAAATATTTAAGTGGAATGAAGTTGTCTCTGTTTTATCCTTCAAAATTCCTAGCCTAAAGAACTGATTGTTAGACATTTATAATATGGGGCTTTGAACTTTGCCAGTTTTCTTCACATTTTGTCTGATTATGTGGTATATCAAAAAGATAGAGGTAAAAATTATTGATGGAAAGAGATTTCAACTTTCTTTTAAAAATTATAGTTTTTGTGATATATTGTTTTCAATTACGCTGTTACTTTATAAGATGAAGACCATCAAATGTAGCGTGTGTGTCTGTGTCTGTGTGTGTGTCTGCGTGTGTGTGTGTGAATATCGTTTTTAAAAGGAATACATTTGGTAGTATTCATCTATATGTGAAAGATTATCATTTTTAAAATATATACGCTGGGCCGTGGGATTCCCTGCTGCTAGGCACTGCAGTCTTTCCAGCTTTTTATAGGAGCATAATAATTCTCCCTCAGGAAATCATGGAACCGCTCATATGTTGTTTCAGGATTTTTGTCATGGCCAAGTGATGTGGCCTCCGTTAAGTGCTCTTCAAGTCAAAATGGCTGAAACTGGAAAATCGTGTAAACAGGTTTGTCAAGAAAACCAACTCATATGTGAACCATCTTTTTTCCAGCACTTGAATAAGGACAAAGATCTCTTGAAGTAAGTGTGGAATGCAAGGAAGGGTTGAAATGTTTTCTTAATCTGAAATGTATATTGAGGAACTACTGCTCAGTAGCTCTGAGATATTACAAAAGTGTTGTGCGTATCATACAAGGAGTGGCCACAAGATTCTCCTGAAGCCCTTGCACTGTGAGATAGGTTCAGATTCACATGCTATTAGTATCCTGGATCATGCAGAAGCCACCCTGCCTTCAATTGTAGACATGAGTATGTCCCTATCATAGCCCTTTGTATTGTACACCACAGTTGTAACAGTCTGGAGTCTCCCGCAGTGTCAGTTCTCTGGGGACATAGTTATAGGTTAATAAACAGTGTACAGATAGCCCTCCACTTACAACCACAATTGAGCCCAAAATTTTCATTGCTAAGTCAGGGAAGTGAGTTGTGACTCATTTTACAACATCTTTTGCCACAGTCAATTAGTGAATTACTGCAGTTGTTAAGTGAATAATGCAGTCATTGAGCGAAGCTTGCTTTTTCCATTGACTTTGCTCTTTGGAAGCTGGCCAGGAAGGTTACAGATGCTGATCACATCACCCCAGAACAGTGGAACTGTCACAAATACATGCCAGTTGCCAAGTTTGATCATGTGACCATGGAGATGCTGCAATAGTTGCAAGTGTGCTTAGATGACTGCATTGTTGAGATTGCTGTTTTTATCCTCTTTGCTTGGGACTTGTTTAATCCATTTTTGCAATATTTATTTTTGTGGATATTTATATTTTTATATCCATTGTTTTTACATTTGTTGTTTTATTTGGTGGTTTCCCAGGGTTTAATTTGATTAATACAAGAATTATCCTACATAGAGAATTTTTCTAATATGCTTAGGTTTGACCGCTTGCTGCAAGACATTATTCACTTTCAGTATCAGAATTATTAATTGTTCGCTGTAATTTATTGATAGAATTATATAGAAATTCATAAGGAAAGTTTCTATGTCCATTAAGATTACCTTTCACTACTCAGAGCTATTGATGATAGAAGTAGAATTGCATTCAGTGTAACTGCAATTGGGGGGAAAGGAAAACGGCTGGCCTCCTACTACCAGCCATGTCAGGTTGTGCAAGTGTGAAGGCCATGGGGTCCTCCAGGGGTTGTTCAGTGGCAACTCCTAGCAGTATATTGCCCATGCTGGTTGGTGCCAATGAGATATATAGGAAGAAGAGGAGGGAGGAGGAGGATATAGCTGGATAGACAGATAATTAGAGAGAGATGAGTGAATACATTAGAGAGAGAGA